AGAGTCAGTTGTAGTTTTGCACAACTTCCAATGTGAGGTGTGCTCCTAAAAATAGGTTATTAGTTAACTAACGTACTAGTTGCTGAACCTCTTGTCTTGAGCCACATGGTCACTAAAGCAGCAGTGAAAAGACATCTTAGGTGGGCAAAGAAGAAAATGAAGCTTCAGCTTTACAGGGGCAAACCAATCACCACATAACCATGCAGCCAGTTGGAGACATTTTTGCAACACGTATGCGTAGCTGCTGGAGGGTTCAGTGATCCCAGCTCCTAAATTTAGCCTGCTTGGCATTGCACACCTCATCTTGAGACAGTGTGCTAGCATAAAGGTTTGCTTGCTTTTTCACTCCTTCCTGAAGCTGTGAGCTGTGCCGGACTGGTGCTGTTGCTGGTTCAGCCTGCTGGGATGCTTCATGCAGCTGTGAGCGGCTGTTGGGGCATTTTTGGCAGACTTTAACAGATCAGTGATCACATTATCTGCAAACCCTACAACCAGGGTAATGCTAGTGGTCAAGTAATCACTGTATGAAAGCTAAGCTGTTGTCAGCCCAACTGAAAAGAAGCTTCAGTGCAGCACATTCCTCAGCTCTGTGGCATGGTCAGGAATTATATGAAATAGTCATTACACAAAACATTCTGTTAATATATCCTTATAATCGTAGCCACTGAATTGTTGTAAAATATACACAGTGCTTGCTTGCAACACCATAGTAGCCTTTAGATGTTATGGACGGTACTTGTGATTTAGCACTGTGGGTGGTGAAGCATGTTGTGGGACTGTTCTGCTTTAACATGATAAAAGTTATAACAATATTGATTTGAAGAAGTAATTACACAAAATATTCTGTTAATGCTTGCTTGCAACACCATGGCAGTCTTTAGATGTAGCGGATGATAACTGTGGTGTAGTATTGTAGATTGTGAGACATGTAAGGCTGGTCTGCTTTAACAAGGCAAGAGAAATGGCAAAATATGACAGCATCAAGTTGTTCTGCTGGTCTTCCTTACCTGTTTGTGCAGAGGTTTCCCCATTTTCCTTGCATTCCACCAGAAATCTTTGGGACAAAAGGAGTGTTGGGAGGAAGTAAGCAAGGACTAACAATGGAGCATATTAAATGACATTGAAGATTGCCAAATAAACCTATCTCTGTTAGAAAGTCATTGGGGGTGGGTAGGATAATGAATTTAATGTGAATGTAATAAATATGTAATATGTGTGAAAATATAGCCTGTTCACAAACGATCAACTGGTGGAGCATTCTTGGGGAGTTACCTTGAAGCTACCCCAGTGCTTCCAATAAAGAACACCTTGCCTGATGGTAACAGAACTTTGCTGTTAAGTTTCTATGTGTTGATTCTGAATCAATATAGTTAAGCTTGCTAGCGTTTCCTGATGGACACCCCTGCTGTCATTTTCTTTAGATATCAGAAAGAGCTGTGTCTCTGAATCGAGGTTAAGGTTAAGGAATCTTTGCTGAGTCTTTGTCTCAAGGAAATAGGGGGCCTTGCTTGGAATTGATATAGATTATGCATCGAATAAATTCATACATAGAAACTTAACAGCAATGTTTTGTCACTGTTAAGTCAGGTGTTCTTTATTAGCGGCGCACAGAAGCACTGGGGATATTTCCACCATAAGTGCTTCAAATATTACATGATTCAGAGTCCATTATATTTCCACAGACAGTACATATTCATCAGTTTCACGTGAGACAATTAACATATACATGCCTACCTCAGGTAGCAAATTATGAGGTCTTCGGTCTTCTATTCAGTGGTCTCTTCTACCTTCTAGCATCCTTTCAGCATCATGACAAAACAACTGACAGTCTTTTACTTCATCCAGTGATATTCCTCGCTTGTCCTCTAGATGAACTTTCTTCATAGACAGATGCTCAGTAGGAGAATGCCTATTATAAGTAATTGATAAGTACCAAAATTGTAACATTTGCTCACTCAGCACTTGGCATCTACTTATCCTTGGATAGAGATGTTTGGCAACCTGTCCTTTAATGTATACTGGGGTATTAATCTGTCATTTAATGATATATACTGGGGTGTGGAAGATACGAAGGATACAGGGAAGTATCTTGATGTCTGCCTGTTGCATCCCAACCTAATCCCAGAGTGAGACAATTTGGCCTTGTGTGGAGGCCCTGGCTTTCATTATTGTGTGTCTTTTGCTGAGGGTCTCTTACCAAAACAGAATAACCTTACAACATGCCTTCTAGTCTGCAATACTACATCTGTAGTATTCTCAGCATCTAAAAGTTATCACAGTTTTGCAAGCAAGATTTAATCACACAATACAATGATGCAACAACTATATTCTAAAATACGATACTAAAATATATAGCATTTCTACTTTTTCAAATCAGTTGTTTCTAAAAACAAGTTACAAAATACTTTGTGCTCTACTTCTTCAAATCAGCTGGTAGTCACTGAATGTGTAACACACTTTTGGGAAACTTCTGCATGTGTAACACAAGTAATGTATATAAACGGAAGATGCTTTGTATAAGCGATGTGCGGTTGGAGGATTACCCCTATGCACCCAGTGCTGCCAGTAAGAATACCTGCTTAATGGTAACAAAGCTTTTGCTGTTAAGTCCCTTCTCGTGGATTTCTTTGATTCAGGAAGCATGATGCTGTGTCAAGATGCTGGGTGGTTGTTCACAGGAAGAGATAGAATGCTGCTAGGTCTTCGTTTCTTTAAGAATGTGCTTTTTTTTTTTTTTTAACATGATCTTCTTGGCTTTGATTTTTACAGTTTCTGCTGAAGTCTCCCAAAAGGAAGAGAGCATTGTTGTGACAAGTTTGGTACTTCCCTGTGGCTTGTATATTTAAAAAATACCGTGGGCTATTTTGGGCAGTGAGCCTGAAACTCCTCATGGATACACACTTTGTTTTAATGGCTACGGAACATATTTTCTACAACCTTCAAGATTTTTTTGGAAACATCTCTGGAACATACCTTCTAAAAATGTCACTGTGTCTATAAATGCAATAGATAGTACACGGCCACTTCACTTCTTAGTCGTGTGTGTAAATAGCCATGTGTTGGCTCAGCATTACCACCCTCTCAAATTCTGCCATTTCTCAGGTTGGATCAGCTTGGATCTTGCCATGACCAAAGCTTGCGTGCAGAGCAGATGTTCAGAGTGCGTTGGTGAAGCGTTTGCTGCAGGGAACAAGCAGCTGGTGCATGGATTTGTAGACCTGGTGCCTTTAACTCCTACCACCAAAATACCTGCTCAGAGGGGCAGAGTGTGTGGGTCACTGGGAATGGTGTGGAGTGCTCACCTCTGCCCTGCCCTCCTGTGTGTGTGCTAGCCCCTCAGAAGAAAGGATAAATTGTTTCTGCCTTTGCACAGAACATCCTGTCAGGCGGCTGAGGAGGGTTGATAAGGCATTTGTTTCTGCCCTCTTTTGTTTTTTAACCACCTAGCTCCTTTGTTTGATTAGCTGCCAGCAGGGGTACAGGAAGAGGGGCTAGGGCAGCAGCGGCTGCTGAGCCAACCTGGCCTGCAGAAGAAATGCCTGTGGAACCGTGCATGAGTATTTTTAACTGAAGAATTTCCCACACTGCTGTCTGCAGCTGCTGCCACCCGGGTGGCCACATGTCCTTGTGGTAATTGCCTGACTTGTGGCAGTCTTTGGACCTGTAAGATTTGTAGACAGACACCACTGCACGTGTGACAGACTCCTGCCACAGCAGACTTCCCAGGGCTGCTGCCTTGGGCTCCTTGGAACTAGGAGCTGGAGGGGTCACAGCACTGTGAGAGAGCACTGTTGGTATGGACCAGGAGTCCTGAGACTTGCCTGCTTACAGAGCTTGTGGATCTTGAGTTATCTAGCTTGTTTCTCATCAGAGAACTGCAAAGTGCCTTTGTCCAGCAAAGCCTTTTTAGGAGCTTTTGTTTAATGAAAAGCTAGATTTGTATAAGTTCTATGTCATTGCTTGTTTGTTTTTTTCACTGCCCATGTTTTTGGTGTTTTTTTTTTCCCTTTTTCCTTTTTTTTTTTTTTTTCTTTTTTTTTTTCTTCGTTTAACACAATGAGAATTTGTAGCTGGCTTTCTGTATTTGTGGGTCCTGAGTCCCTGGAGAGACCCTCACTGCAGTCAGAAGGCAGAAGAAAGTGAGATGGCCAATGCCCCTAGTAAGGCATGTGGCATCAGACAGTGGTGGTGCAGCTGTGCACTGCAGCAGCGTTTGAACAGAGAGCTCATTGCAGAGCTGGACTTTGAAGTCTGCCATCCAAAGATAACATCTTTGAAACCTCTCAGGTCAGTGGCTCACAGCCAGCCAGCATCTCACTCTTTGGGACAGAGGCTGTTTTCATATATTTTTGGATAACACCTATTTCATTGTGGCCCACTCTGGAATGTAGCTAATCATAACCAGAGTTACTCTATTTTTTCTTTTTTAAAAACATGGGGCTGTGGCTGAACAACCTAACCAGCTTTCTATGGTTTCCATGAGTATTCAGAGTGTCTTGAGGAGTGTGTCTGAAATAAGATGGATGCACTGCTATTTTTCACAAATACCGTCAACTTATAGGTTACATGCTGACTATTAGAAGCTATCATTAAAGAGTTTCACTAAATAATGAGAAGCAATGTGCTAGTGAACTACATGTGCTATTTAAGTATTTGTTGCTTTAAATAGCAACCTGGGACTGGAGGGCTCCCAGGACTGGAATAGCAGACACGTCGCTGGACATAGATGAAGTTTCACTGGCAGAGCTCTATAGAACTTAAGAAAATGATGTTCCACTCTCACTCCTAAAAATGCTAAAGCTGTGTAACTTTTCCATTCTTCACTTAGTTTTTAATGGTATGCTGAGTACAGCCAGCCGTTGAAATACATCCTAGATACTTTGGATCTGGCTGATACAGACTGAAAGACTGAAAGAACCTTCAGTCTTAATCTTTTTCTTCTGTTTTTTTTTTTTTTAATTGAGGTGGATAGATGATGTTTTTTGGATATATTTTTGTTTTGAAGTACCGTTTTGCCATTTGTTTGCTCAATAAATAGATCACCAAAGCATGGTTATTTCTTGGATTTGTAGTTGGTGCACTAACAGATAATTTCACTCAGCTGTCTTTTCAAAATGTACTTGCCTTGCTTATGCACACTGTGTTTTTAATTAACAACTTTGGTGCCAACATGAGCCCATTCTGCTTATCCCCCACAGCTTAAGTTCCATGTGTTGCTGGGAGGATTTCTGTTCCCCAGCAGTGGCAGTTCTAGAAGCTGCTTGCATGGAGGCTGCTGGACAGCAGTGAGGCGCAGCAGTGAACCCAGAGCAAGGCAGAATGGGTCATGCTGTCCCCATTTTGCTGTGTGAGCCACACAGCTGCTGTGGAGTGAGGCACGGGTTGAGGACAGGAAGTCTGAGCTTGAGTGTTGCAGCTGATAACAGCGATAAGGAAACAGCAAGCTGGAAGTCTTTTAAAAACCCTTCTTTTTTGCCTTGATCAGATACTCTTTGATCAACCAGTCTAAGGGCCACACTGTGGGATCACATCAGAGACACAGGTCTGCAAACACATGGGATGCCTGCTGCTCCAGGTCAGACAGGCTTCGCTGCTGGAGGAGGATGTGTCCCAGGAGGAAAGCTGTGTGTGTGTGTGTGTGTGTGCCCGGACAACTCAAAGGCAGCATTTGCTGTTTAGAGCATACCTTGGTGACAAATAAGTGCATTTTGAAGCCTCTGGCAAGGGCTAAGAAAAGCTGTCTGCAGCTACTTGCTAGCTAGCAGTGAGATCCTCTGACCATCTGTGATCCCATCAGAGGGCTGAGGAACTGCAGGGCATGTGTGTCTATGGGTATTCTCGAGCCCCTGACACATCCAGTGCTTGTCCCTGTACTGAATACTGGCCACCAACAGCCCAAAATCAGGAGTGCAGGCAAGTGGGGGTGCTTGGATCTGCAGCAGGGCCTGAAAGAGAGGCTCCTTGTACCTGAGTGCCTGCTGATGTCCAGAAACTCCTGTGGTTGCTTCTGCTGAAAGATGGATGGGGCCATATGAAGCTGATTCCTGTTGCAATGAAAGTCCCAGCCAAGAACAGCCTTGTGTACAAAAATAACATGTACATTTGTAGTTTTACCTGTGACTTCTCCTAAAGTAGAAGGAAGGGAAGGTGAATCCAGTTGATCTGGAAGTTAATGATATTGTCAACAGCAGGGAAATAATGAGTCCCAAGCTAAATCCTTCACAGGACTTATTTTGTACCTTTTCCTCGGTTGAATAAAGAAATTATTTGCTTTTTGGAATGCTTTTCAGAATCCTTTAGGTTTTTATCTTGGATGTTCGCATAGTTGCAGGAAGAAAGGAAATAAAAACATACACACAATTCCATCTCTCAATAGCATTTAAATACTACAGACAATATCAGCTGAAGTAAGACTTGGTATTTGTTTTACTTGTAGCTGTGTTATGCATTCCTTCTAATCTCTTATTTTTGCAAAGATGAAAATCACTAATTTAATCTTTGCTAAAATGTTTCTAAACAACTGTGAGTTTGGATTTCTTCTCTGACTTTCTTCAGTTCTTCAGTATAAGATTATGCTATTACATTTCAGTCTTTCAGTGTCAGCCTTTTGTTTTTTTGTTTGTTTTGTTTGCAGTAAGTGAAGTATTTCAAGGCTTTCTCTACTGCAGAGAGTATTTAGAACTGTAAATGTGATTTTGCTTGTTTTTGCTGTAACAAGCTGGAAGCACAACTATCCCAAGGTGTTTCTTAAGCAGCTTTTCTTCATCATCTAAATTTGCTTAAAATCTTCAGTAGTTTACAAATTCCTGTAGCAGAATAATGATTCCCTTTGTCTACCAGGAATAAGACTTCTTTTAAGAGGGCAGTGTGATTCCAGTGAACTGAAAAGCATAGAATCCTTAGAGTTAGAAGCATCCTTTGGAGGTCATCTAGTCCTGCAGTGAGCAAGGACACCTACAGCTACATCAGGTTTTCCAGAGCCTGGTTCAGCCTGATCTTAGATGTCTCTAGGGAGGGGCTTCCACCACATCTCTAAGTAACCAGTGCCTCACCACCTTGACTGTAGAAGACTTTTTCCTTATATCCAAGCTAAATCTACCCTGTTTAAGTTTGAAATCATTTCCCCTTGACCTATTACTGCAGACTCTGCTATAAGGTTTGTACAGCTTCTTGTGAAACAAAACCCATCTCCAGCTTGTCCTGGGAACAAAATTCATGTGTTCTGTGTGTTAAAAGCAAAGAGATTTTGAGTCTGTGCTCTTCTCCTCCAGATTTGTTTCTTTACCGTGTAAGGGGAATTGTGTATTGCAGGAAGTAGACGCTTACTGTTGCAATGCCTGTTCTGCTTGGTGGAATGTTACAAGACGGTGAGCTGTGCACAGACAGCAGAGAGTAAGGCGAAGAAATCAGGAGCTGTTCTTTCTCACACTCATCCTTTGTGTGTGGGAAAGCTAGAAACTGGTGTGTTTGGACCTAAGGATTTGACATAGAGGACAAGCTACTTCTACTTAAATATTGATGTGCTAAAAGGAGATGACTAAAGAAATTGTGGAGTTTGTAGGAAGTCTCTCACTTTCGCCATGTGACTGTTGCAGTAGAAACATACTGGTGATAATGGAATGACTTGGATTTTTGTCTTCCTTTCCAGTTGGCCTGCTGCTGTGGTACTGCTGCTTGTTCCTTGTGCTGCAAATGCTGCCCCAAGATAAAGCAGTCAACAAGCACCCGCTTCATGTATGCTCTATACTTCATCCTGGTGACTATTATCTGCTGTGTCATGATGTCGACGACGGTAGCTAATGAAATGAAAACACATGTAAGTAAGATATGCACTACTGCTTCTGAGGGGAGATGGAGCTCCATCTTTCTCTTTTCTCCTCCTGTATAAAAGGCAGTCCATTCTTTCTACCCCCCCATTTCCAAACCCAGGGGACTGTGCATCAGCACCTTCTTGTCAATTGCTTACACTCTGAGTGTATTTCACAACAGCAAGAGTCAGGGATTGTGGAACTAGTGGCCTGCCTTCTCTTTTGTTGTAGGGAAACCCACTACTATAAACTCATGCCAAGTTTACTGTGTGGGTTTCAAGACATCTTGTAGTAGAATAAATTGCTTTAGTTTGATGTTGAGTTTCTTTGGTAGCTTGTTTAGTAGCAGAAGAAGCAGCTAGAAAACAGCACTTCAAGAGTTTTGTTTATAATACTAATTCTGTGTCCTTTGTGTTATATGACACACTACTACTACAAAGCACAATGCTGTAAATCCTGTGCAGTGCATTTTCTTCCATGTGTGTTGAGTCATCATGTTCACATGGCCTCTAACTACAGCAGACATTGTTCAGTTCTAATTGTCTTTTTAATTAAAAAGCTTCAAAAGCATTAAAGGAGCTGTGGCTAAAACTAGATTATAAAATTCAAATTTCTTTCAGAATCCTAATACGTAACTTTCCTGAGGTAAATGTTACCACCTTGCTTGAGATCAGATGCTAGACCTGTTGTACTTCATCTTTGGTTTCATTTCTTAAGCCACCCAAGTTGCTCTTAGTAGCATAAATTCTTTCTCTCACTCTACAAGCTTCAAGAAAATAAGTCTGTTTTTAAGTAGAGAGAACAATGGGTGGACCATTTACATTTTAAAAATTAAGCAATGTGGGACTGAAACTTTCCTGCCCTGAGCTTGGCATCAGGCCTGCTTTGAGGCTGTCACCGTACTCGCCCTGAAGATTCAGAATACTTCAGTTGCTCTGAGCATCTAGTTCTCCATATTCCTTCCCAAAGAGGGAGTCCCAGAGGGTGCATGGTGATGGTCATTTCTTTGTTTTACTGACTGTTGGCTGAGTTGGTGCCCTACTTAACTTCTGCCCCTGGCTTTCAGTTAGTGTGAAAAACATCCCTCTGAAGCAGCCTGGGCCAGAAGCTGGTGGTAACATCCTGTAACTGAAAGAAAGGTGAAACTACAGGATTACATAGGGCTATCTTGAGGGTTTGGTGCCAGTGAACTTCATTGTGCCCTTTTTGTACATTCTGTTCTAATTTTCTTTAGTGTTGCTTTGCTTGGATTATCACAATGCTGCCTTCTTATCTGTGGTCACCAGAACTTGCAGTCAGTTCTGTAAGAGTGCCTACTACACTGGCCTAGTACACTGAGATGTGACTGTGAGCTGCACCTCAAAAGCTTTTCAACGTGATGCTTAAGTTTCTTGCCAGGATTTACTTTGACTTAGTGGATGCTTAGATTGGCAATAAAGTGAATAATCCAAGGAACTGAAGCATATGGAAGACAAATTATATGCTAATATGTATCCAGATTTCATAAAGTCACTTTTCCATGAGTAATGTGGTTTTGATGCTGTTTGTATTCCTAATAAAAAAAACTGTCTCCCTGTCCAACAGAAAAGTGATTCAAGCAGGCCTCTACAGCGTGCTTTTCAGTCTTGCCAAATTCCTTTTCCAGTTTGTAGTCATAAAGCTCAGTGTAGGAAGAAATGGCACGAAGAGTAGCTGTTAGTGTGAAGTAGAAAGATAATTACCATCTTAATTTAGAGCATTCGATGACTTTGAATAGGAAATTGACCATCTGAAAGTAGTCTTTCTCCTCTCTAATTTAATAATTCTGGGCTGTTCAGACTGTTGAAACTAATTCAAGCATGTTCTAGTAAAGTGCACCTTCAAAATATTTATCCAGACAAACTGGTCTTGGCTTCCCAAAGATGAACTGTGTTTTGAAAGTGCAGGGCACTTACTGATTCCTTTGCTTTTGGCTGGATCACAGAGTATTCTTAAATCCTGAAGCCAGACTGTAAGCAAATACTTTACAGAATGCTTTTAGGACCTTGCACTCTTTCTTAAAGGGAGACAAAATTTTATTTCATTTTAACTAGATTTGTTTATTTTTCTCTGTTAAAAAATATTTACAGTTTCAGTGCAGTCCTTTATGGAGCCATCACATTGCCAGGAAACCATGAATCTGCTTTACCAATTTAGAAATCAAATAATCACACTGATGTTACATGAAAGGAATCTCACCTTTATCAGTTTAGATATCTAATAGTTGCACTGATGTTATGCAAAAGGAATCTCACCTTGTTAGTGAAGAAATTTTGATTGTTTTGTTGGTTGGTTACAAATTCCCAAGCCTGAAATAAGTCTCAGAGTATTGTAGCCCTGTAGCCTTTGGATCTTTGAAGCTATTTTGAGAGGAAACAGCAGCAGTGTACATCTTTTATGGACACTATAAAAAGATTTTTAAAAAAACATGTTTGTTTTAAAATAATTCATTTGCCTCCACTGTCATGCCTTCAGTCTATTAATATATTTTTCAGACAGGACTTTTAGATCCTGTGTTGTCAAATTCTGCAGGTGCCAGCCCAGAGTTGGGAACCTGCTCGAACAGAGTAAACATGATTTCTTTTTGGTAGGTTTTTCTCTGTTCTTTTCATTCTTCCTTCTTATCTGATGCATTCCTGTGCCCATGAGACACAAAGGGAGAGAGACTCGAAGAGTTAAATTCTGAAAAATGTGCAGCGAAACCATGGCATTTATCTTTGATCTCTGGGGAGGAAGCGAGAAGCAATGGTGAGGGAGTGGATAGGGAGCGAAACAGATAGGGAGGGAGTGGTTTGCCATGGACAATAGTTCGAACTGTAGCAAGTAGGATAGATTTCAAAGGAGCAAGGTTGTGGGTATCAAGGCAAAAGATGGGACACAGCATAAAGATGTGAAAACTTTAACAATATGGGCAGCGAGGCACACATGGTGACAATATAGTTATACAAGTTGGTTTTAAAATTTGACTTTGGTCCAAGAGGAAGCAAAGCAGCACTCAACTTGAAGAAAGGCTTCTGGGATCCATGTATATATTTTTCCAGTTATTCTGGTGAGAACCAGCTACAGCTTTATACTGGCAAACATTCTGTTGAAGCATGGCCTTGCATTTCACAGGCTTTGAAATTATGGTTGATGCAAAAGGAGGAAGATAATATTTGGTTTGTTAAAAAACTGTTAATTTTTATTAAATTTATTTATTTTTTAATGTCAAAGCTGTTTCAAAACTACTGGTTTCATCCTGTAAGTACCCACGTCCTTCTTAAATAATGAAAGAAGAATCAGAAGGAGGATTTCAGGAAAAGAAATGTTTGCAAAAACCAATTCATTATTGCCAAAGCATTTAAGTTCTGGATGGCTATATGTTCTGGTAGAGCATATTTTCAGACTCCTTTCCCCAGGCATAACTGCATTACAGTTTGTTAAAACGTAAATTTGCGACAAAACCCAAGTTTTTAAATTAAACTGCCTGTTACCTACTTCTGACAAGAATTAAGCTGTAGATGCAGCCTGTAGTCCCCCTTGCTCCCTGTCTTGTAAATGGGAGTGACGTGACCCTTCCTCCAGTCATCCAGGACCTCACCTGACAACCATGACTTTTCAAATATGATGGAGAGCGGCTCGGCAACCACCTCAGCCAGCTCCTTCAGAACCCTGGGATGCACGGCATCCGGCTCCATAGACTTGTACACATTCAGTCTCATGAGGTGGTCTTGGACCTGCTCTGTCCTTACAGTGGGGGGGGATTTACCACCCCGGTCCCCAACTAGAGATTTAGGGATGCAGGGCTCAGGGACATGAGAAGTACTGGAATCCTGTGAAGACCGAGGCAAAGAACTCATTCAGTACCTCAGCCTTCTCTTTGAAGCAGCACATGCAACTACACATGCAGTTATCCAAGAAGAGACTGAGTTTTTGCAGTAAGAATGCTTTGTCCCCTATGCAGGGGCCAGGGAATTTGCTTATGTTACTTCTAAAGGGAGGAAGGTAAGTATTTCATCAAGCTTGGCTAAGTAATCCCTGACTTTAATAGCCAGCAAAACTATCCAGTGGAAAGAAAACGTAACAAAAAACTTGGGTTGGACAAGGTGCTCGCAGCTGAGTGTATTTCAGAGATAAAACTTCAAAACAAAAACTGTCTTTTTAAACCTTCAGTGATTAAGAATACCTGTAAGGCCTTATAAGTTGTTCACAGCAGTAGTTTATCCTGTTGTGAAAAGATGCCCTTTTCATTACATCAACCCTTTTGTCCCCAGCAATGTACTCGTGTTTGTTACCTGTGAGGGTCCCCAAGTGTTTGGTTTTCTTCTGGATTTGTTACTTCAGGATCACTGGTCTCTGAAAAAGATGTTTGGTTGCACAGGAGTGTTCCTGGCCATCATTTATCAGTATATAATGTTGTGCATCCTATATAGTGCTGAGGTTTTTGTTGCTCGTGTAGGCACAAAGTAAGCTGTTGTTCTTGTGAATCCATCCGTTTTCTCTCAGCCTGATCTGTAAATAAATTATTGCAAGATACAGAAAAAAACATAGAGGGTTAAGAATTCCATCAAGACCTCGGTAGAATTCCATGCAATTAGAAGATTCCCATTTATAGCTACCTAGAGATCTGTTTTTAACTAACTAGCTAATTAGTCAAGTGTCTTGGTGTTGTTCTTGTTTTAAAACTCATAATCAGAATGCTAGTTGGTACCAAGTCTAGATCTAACGGAAACTCTGTATAATCAGTACGATCATCTATATAAAAAGAAACCTTTGATTTGTCTTAGAAATACTGTTCAGCAATACTTGCTGATGGATGGCAATTACAAGCAAAGGATTGTGAGGTTAGCCGTCAGCCCAGTTGCTTTCCCTGTTTTTGCTGTGGCCCCATGGCTTGCCCTGGCAGTGGTGTGATATTGATAGGTCTCATAATTATTCCATTCAGTCCATGTGCTTGTTTGGAATGCTGGCACATTCAGCCAGTTTGTCATTTCATTGCTTTTCAAGACTTAAGAAAAAGCTCTGCTGATGCCCCACACATTTTCTTACTAGCCCTCTAAATTTTTTGTATGCGAGCTGTGCCACAACTACTTGTTTACTGTGCAGCTTCTCAAAACCTGGCTACTCCTTTGAGTTGCTTCTGAAAGAGCATCTCAGGGTGGCACAGCTTGAATTCATTTCTGTAACGCTGGGCAGCTGTGCCGAAACCTGCTTTTCATCTCCTCCCCTGATTGTAGCCCACCTAGGATTAGCTCAGTGTCATAGTTTGGCTTTCCTGTGCTGCACTTAGCAACAGTTTAACTGTGTTGCCTTGAGATACTGAAATACTTCTTTTGGGAAACTGCTAAGAAGGCTGTTGACTGTTCTGGGTTACTGAATGCAATTGAAAGTTGTGCAGCATGCATTGTGGAAAGCATGCTTTCAAAGCCTTACAGCTGGAAGGTGAGAGCTTATGTGTTAATCTTACATTTCCTGCATTTTGGATGGCTCTCTACCCAGCTGGGAACGCTGCCTGATCCCTTTCTGTTAAGTCCTGTTTTTGTAGGCTTACCAGTCAGCTAAAGGAAGTAGGCATCTTCTCTTCTTTCTTGGAAATGTTCAAGGATGGTGTTACCCATAATCTTTGCATGTCTTTCTCCCAGAAAATCATCCTGGCTTGATTCTTCTCACATCTGATTCACATTTCTTCTGCTTGATTTATTTGTACAGTGTTTTGTCCTAGCAGGTGTTGTTTCCTGATTTTGTCAGTTACCTGTGCAGATAGCAGTGATCAGCTTCAAAAGTTTTGATGGGTTGCTTGATTTGTCTTCCTAGCTTTGGCTGAGCACTTGGTGCATACAGAGAGGCCCTTCTTCCTTTGAAATAGTTGGTGGTTTTCTAATTAAATGCTTCTACTTCTGCACAACTCCCTGGCTGTGAGAAGGCAGGGGTTGATCTCCACAAAGACACCACACAGGAGTCAGTCCTGTCTACAGAGTCCTGCTTTCTGGGCACTCGGAGTCATGTCTACCTGATGAAACCAAGGCCAAAATGTGTGGCAGTTTACATTCCCCTTACAGCCAAGCACAAAGCCTCAAGAGCAAATATTTAACAAGTCAAGAAGTGGAATTTTCCACCCTCTCTGTTAATTTAACATAAAATCAGGGTAACTGGCACAGCTCCCTTTCAGAAACTGTGATGCAAGAGAGGGAACTTGTTTCCATATTGCTTGGGTGTGCTGGCAGCACGAGGTAGAGCTTCCTGTCCTGTTTGTGGCCCCTTTGGCTGGTGAAAATGCCAATATGGCTTTATGTAAGCTGGATTACTGAAACAGAATCTGTTGTTGTAAAACATGGGAAGAAGAGAGAGGGTCCCATACTGGGCAAATAAGTATTTAGGAACTGCGATGACTAAGGCCGACAGCTGAAGGGAAGTGGGGTAGGCTTGTACCCCAAAGCCATCTGGAAGTAGCTGACAGTTGAGGTCCTGGAAAGCTCTAATTTGTCTTTTACACTGTCCTGTATCCCTTGAACTGTCAAATCCAGGCTGAGGGGTATCAGCAAAAGGTATCGACAGATGCTGTCAGTGTTAAACGAAGAAATGAAAAGTCAGTGGTGCACCAGCTTATGAAGGTGTAGTTGTGAGGTGCTTTATGTCCTGTCTAACAACTTGTAATGTATTTTATTTTTCAGTTTCCCTTCTATGAGCAAATGTGCAAGGGCATTCAGGCGGGTGAGATGTGTGAGAAGTTGGTGGGATACTCTGCGGTGTACAAAGTCTGTTTTGGAATGGCCTGTTTTTTCTTTTTCTTCTGCTTGTTTACCATCAAAATTAACAACAGCAAAAGCTGCCGAGCATATGTTCATAATGGGTGAGTATTTGTTTAATTTCCACTCTCTTTGTATAGTTGTGTTGCTTACTTTCCAATTGAGTGTAGTACAAGGCAAAAAGCAAGAGAAAAAAAAAGATTGATTTCACTACTTTTGTTGGGTATAAAGCAGTCAAGGGCAAAGAATAGCAGTCAATCAATAAAGATGGTTTTTTGTCTTTCTGGGTTAGACATTTTTCATAATACTTGATCTGAAGACCTCTAATTGCTATTGTAACCAGATGATTTCTTTTGTTTTCTCTCATCCAGATTCTGGTTTTTAAAGCTTCTACTTCTGGCAGCAATGTGCTCAGGAGCTTTCTTCATTCCTGATCAGGATACTTTCCTCAATGGTACGTCCTTCTCATTTTGTAATGCTGCTTTATTCTGTACTGCCTTGAGGGTGGTTATAAATCCTGGAAGTCTGCTCAGTGTGAACATGGCTGTACTTCTTCAAGTAAATCCAGTGTAGTCCAGGAGAAAAAGAATATTTGAAGCTGTATGGGGGTGACCACACACAGAATAACCTCTCATTGTTGATGCTAACCACAAGGAGACCAAGTAGGCTAGTAAAATACTACTGTGAAACTGTTGTGCAAATTCTTCAAGAAGCAGAGACTACAATAATGCAGAAGAAATTGTTCACTTGAGAGCATAGAGTTGTGTCTGAGTTAGGTTTGTGCAAGTAGCTCTGCGTAGCACAGTGGCTGGAGACTGATATGTGATAAAGAAGTGCCATCAGGGACAGGGTAACCTTCAGCCTGCAGGCACTGGCTTCCTGGAAGCATGCAGTGCCATAAAATAATGTGGGATGTCACAAGCTTTCAGGCTGATTGTGTGGATGCTATTATAATAAGTAGATAATAGTGTAAAGCTAGGCTTCTTGTAGCCTGTAAAAGCATGCTGCTAGGAGTGCTGTGGCCAATGCATTTTCAGTTCTGGAAGACTCTGGTGCAACTTGGGCCTGCTAGTACTGGTCAAGTGCTTCAGTGTTACCTCTGTGGGGTACACCAGGAGCCTGGTGGGCTGGCAGCAGCAGACTTGGTGATGACACCAGGGTGAGTTTGTGCTTTTTGGTATGCCAAGTGCATGTAGGCCCTTAAAGTGTCGAGTCTGGGCAGTTGCTTCCACTGAAGCACACTGAGTACTGTGTGTGCTTTCAGCTCCCCCAGTCTTCTCTCTTATAACTAGCTAGGGTGTTTGTAATAGAGTAAAAGGAAAGAGTAACTCTGGGAGAAAAGAGTACACTGGACAGACATACTGTGAACATGCCACTCTGGGAATCTAAGGTAAAAATCGCTCAAGATAAACCACAGGTAGGCTTATTTCAACTTCTTGCTCTTACTGGCTGTTTATGTCTGATCCTAGTTCAGTCTGGTGCTTCGTAGGTCAAGGGATCCTTATCCATATTCCTTTTTTTCCCACAGAGTCACGTGCTGGCTGTGTGAGATTGTCATTAGTTTATAATCACTGCTTGGTTGACATGGTACAATGTGTTACACCCACAAGCAAGCTAGACACCCTATCATCTTTTGAGTAATTTTTTCCATGGCAAAAAGTCATCAAGAAGTATTTGGGGAAGAAGTGAAGCAATTTTTTTTGTGCTGATGGGAACTACAGTCTAACCTTGTGTGGAAATATAGCATAACAAGCTCTCATCCCCAAATTACTTTTTGTCTTTTCTCTGTAAGGCAGTATCCTATATATCCTGTTCAGCTATTCTTTAGGAAGCTCCTGAGGAAGTTCCCAAATCAGAGATGCACAAAGGGTCTCAGCATTGTCTGGTTCTGTTTTCCCTCTTTTTTTTTTTTTCTTTCTTTTTTCTGTTGTTGTTGTTGTTAGCTATCAAGAAACATACAGCTTTTTTTTTCTAAAAAATGTGGAATGTTCTTTGAATGTGTAGGATTTTAATTATAAATGAGGGGCACTATGTGCAAGCACTGTGTTTGTGGGAGCTGTAGCACTGGCCTGCCAACCTTGTCTATGATGGCTCCATAAAGCATGCCCTACTGTCCTGTCTGTGGCAATAAGAGATTGTTACTGAGAGTCTGGCTATGTAATTACTTGCTGCATTGGTGGTCTGCTTTTTCCTTCAGTACTTCTTCTAAGTATGTTCTATTTTAATGCGGTGGTTGGCTTTTTTTTTTTTTTTTTTCACACTTGTTTCTTTAATTTTCTTCTTGAGTGTTTGGTATTGCTCATGGGAGATTTGTTGTCCAAAGTATTCAAGCAGTTACCCATGTACAGTATAGTAGGTCAGTGGTTAAGCAGTCAAATAACCTGTCTTAAAACTAGTTGATAAATACCTAGCGTTCTTGTTCCTTTGGGAGTGGCTCAGGACAGCATTTGTAAATAGATGAGCCATGCCTTCATTTTCCAGTGGTACTGGAATCAAGGGAAGTAGTTGCCTTTTTTAGCACTATGTTCTAGAACCTTGCAATTTTAGGGTTTAGGCTTCAGGAAAATGCCTTCAGGACTCCTCCACCCTTACCAGTCACAAATAAAAGTTTCAGTATTTTCTGTCTGATTATAGTAACCTTGTGTCTGGAAAAAAAATCTGGGCTACAGAGTCTCAATAACTGTCATAACAGGCTTCTTCTGAGTGTGTAATAGCTTGCAAGATGAGTTCAACAGAGAGCTAATCTTGAGATAGCTGAGTTGGCTTTTTGGCTAGAACCTCTCATCTCTTGCTGTATCTGTGGGCTTGAGATATTCAAACTGTATGTCTTCACCTTGTAGACAACAATTTCATCTTCTCTTGGGGAAAAGGTGGGTACAGTTTTGACCAATTTTCTGTTTCTCTGCCCTTGCAGCCTGGCGCTATGTAGGAGCAGCAGGAGGTTTCCTTTTCATTGCCATTCAACTCATTCTGCTTGTTGAGTTTGCACACAAATGGAATAAAAATTGGTATGTGTTGCACAGTTATTTGTATATAATGTTGAATAGTATGTAATATATTATTATACTCTACTATTTATATAGACTATATAATATATAATATATACTATGTAATAGTGTAATATATAATATTATGACAGACTCCTGAACAACATATCCCTTGGAAAAAAGGAAATGAAGCATTTGAAAGTGGTATAAATGTTGACGTTTAGAACTGTGCATCTTTCTTCGTCTGCTTTTGTCTTTTCCCAAAGGAAGTGTTTCCTTCTTATTCTACTCCGTGCTGATATGTTCTTAACCTCAATCATTCTGCTTCCAATAAATAGTAGCATGTTGGGATGCAAACACTTTGTTTTAAGCTGTTCAGTTTTCTGTGAAAATACACTTGCTAGAAAACAGTGCTGCAAGAGAATAAAACAGGATTTGCAAAGTGTAGCAGTGAAACTGTATGCCGTGGTACAAACTGGTAAATCCTGTTTTTTGTTTTTTTTTTTTGTATCAACATAATGCACATTGCATGATTTATTCAGTTATTTATGTATTTTTGATTGTGAGAACTGCTGCTTTCTCTAACTTCTTTGTTTTCATCTAAGCATGCAAGATTCCGTTGTCAACCCACATATACCATGTTTTGGCACTGACTTAATTTCAGTTTGATACTATGCTTCCAGTCTTTAGCCTCTGCTCATGGATTAAAATATTTAAATTGTATACTCCTATGTATATACAGGAACTTTCACTCCTCTATACTTTTCTATATTCCATTTTTTCCACTACAGCCCTTGCTGTCTTCTTTTGTCTCATTTAGCATGTTGACTGCTAGGAAGGGTTTTAGCAAACCTTTCTTAGATATCTATTTTCATGGAGGAAGAGTTGAGATCTTACATGGCAGATATTTTTACAGCTAATTACAACAGCTGCTTTTCTGTGTATCAGCATTTAGCATTAGCACTTTCTACAATAGATGTTCATTTCCACAGAAGAAAAAAGTACTAATGCTAAGGAAAGATTCCTTCAATCTTATGGAAGGAACCTAGCAAGGGCTTCCATTAGTGTACTGGTATACACACGCATCAGGAATATAAGCATTGTCTTTTGTGTTTGATAGCATGAACTGTTCAACTATTAGAACTTTATTTTTTGGGAGATGAAGTAAGGTGCTTGTCTCTGTCTCCCCAGGACTGCAAGTGCAAATCACAAGCAGATGTGGAGTGGTTTGCTCGCCCTGGTCACGCTCATCTTGTACTCTGTTGCTGTGGCAGCCCTGGTCCTCATGGCTCTTTTCTACACGCGTTCAGAGGGCTGCTTGTCTAACAAGATCCTGATTGGTGTCAATGGTGGCTTGTGCCTCTTTGTGTCACTGGTGGCCATATCACCCTGTGTCCAGAATCGTGAGTGCTGACCTCCTCCTGGTTTTCTAGTGCTGTCGAAATTGTACGCCTTGAGACATGATAATTCAGGGCTAGGGCTGTTCTTATCCCTGTCTCCTTATCAACACTATGCTGTGCTGTTGTTGCTTACCAGTTCAGCTGCTAAAACTACAGAGATGTAAGATATTTTGGGTACACCATCAGGCCCCTATACTGTGAAGAATGCTCCCGTGCTGATGGCTGATAAGGTGTAGAGGAGTTTACATAACACCGTAGCATTAGCAGTTGAGGCAATGGCAGTAATACTCTTTCACCTCTATCTTAGCATTAGCTTTTGGGTACTTGCAATTTACCATCTGTAAAGTTTGGGCCTGAAGTAGTTGACAAAAGTATTTCACAGAGTCACAGAATGGCCAGGGTTGGAAGGGACCTCAAGGATCATGAATCTCCAACCCCTCTGCCACATGCAGGGCCACCAATCATCCCACCTAATGCTAGACCAGGCTGCCCATTCTTCTTTGTATGTTCAATGTATGCTGTTAATATCTTGCATATTTTGGACTTGGAAGTAGTAATTTAAGTGGCTCCAAAACAAGTTTTGTGGGCAAATAAATCTATTTTGGCACCCTGTAAATTGCTTTTTGGAAAGTTGGTGCTTTTGGCAAGAGCAAAGAGATGATTCATTTCTTATGTGGGTATCTTTAATGCCTTTCTAAAACAGCCACCAGAACTAAACAGCCAACTCTTCTCACTTGCTGGAGGAAAGATATCTAAACTTACAAACTGCTTTAAATAAAAAGTAAATGGTACTCCCCTCTTTTGAAAGACACTGATGTGCTTGCTGTTCTTTAAGGGATGTGAATTTGTTTCTCAGATTGTTTTAATATCTACAAAAATGGTCTTCTATTCTCTTTCTTCTAAAGGCCAGCCCCATTCTGGTTTGCTGCAGTCAGGGGTAATCAGCTGCTACGTCATGTACCTCACTTTCTCAGCGCTATCCAGCAAGCCCCCAGAAACCAGTAAGTGCTACATGTAAATCCTTTCAGACAAACCATGTGTTAAAATCGAGGAGGCTTTTAGGAAAGCTTAGCAGTGAGGAACGTAGGAGTGCTGGTTTTTATCTGCTCTGCCCTGTACAAAAGAAACAGTAGATAATACATGTGGGCAGCGTTTAAGAGATTGTAAGTGCTCTCCTTGCAGTGTCAATGCTTTGGTCCAGAGGAGCGTAACTGAGAGTTTTTGGATTGCATCTGTTGCATGAGAGTCATTCTAGCTTGTTTTCTACTGATAAATTTCCCAGAGTCCTGCAGTCCATCAGTGTGGAAAGTGCACGTGCTCCTATAATAGGATGTAACTAAATACATATCTTTGATCACGTGATAGGAAAAGAGTTGGGACAGAAGCTCTTAAGTACCTCTACATGAGGTCAGGTCACCAGCTCAACCCCAAAGTTTACTAGATCCACACCAGTTTATAGGTGCCTTGTACCAACATGGCTTTGTTCTATTTTGCTGTGCTGGTGATTGGAGTGGATACTAAAATCTCTTTGTTTCTCCTAGAATTATTACAGTAGATAGCCTTTACTATCCAATTGAACAAAAACTTGAGAATTGTTCATCTTTGATTTTGAAAAGAAACATTCTGAGTAAAGACCTGAGTTATGCCCTGGTTGTTTGAAGTCATGCTGTTCTTCAGCTGAGTTCCTGTAGTGCGCGCATTTTAACTATGTCCTTTATGCTGCAAAAACACAGCAAGACTTTACAATGAATCAAGGAGACAATGTATAGCCTTGTTTAAACAAGGCCTCATAGCTTGCGCAAGCAGATAAATCTAGGAAGGAGCACAGAAACCATAGGAACATTAGGTTCCAGGAAGATAAGTAGAGTTGCTGTTTGCAAGGCAATGAAGGATCCTTGGAAGTGATAAGGATACAGAGTTGCTATTTAGAACAAAGTGAAGGGTCCAATGAAGATAAGCAAAGTTTCTGTTTGCAACTCAGTGGGGAGGGTCCTGTGAAGATAAGGAGGCAGGGTTGTGTTGTGACACAGTGCAACCCCCCTAAAAGTTAAAAGTTCCCAGTGAGGAAGACTTCGAGCTTTTGTGAGGATGACTAATAGCCTTCATCCAGTGACCACCAGATGGGGCCCAGAGACCCTCCCCACATTTTAGGATGCATGCTCAGCAGGGTGGGATGATATGGTAACAGGTTCCTTTAAATTCAGGGCATATGTAACCAATTTCTCAGAAATGTAATGAATATGTATACGCTATGCCTGTAAATGCATAGCTGCCTCTTTCCTTGGTGGGCATGTTTGATGGAGTGATCCCTCATGCACTCAGTTCTGTATTAAAGAAATACCTGCTTGACATAACTCATTGGCACGTCAAATTACTGTCAGATTTCTCAGCATCACTATGCTCTTCTCAACCTGCTTCCTCTTCCCATTTAACAATTAGAGTCACCTGTTTGGATGGGTAATATTCTTTTCATTTACAGAAGACTTGTCTGGATTCAGATCATTAATGAAAAAAGCCACTATTACTGCTCAGCTTTTAGTACTGAAAAGCTAAAGCAGTGATAGCTAGAAGCCCAGTGGCAGAAATTAGAAGTTTTACAGTCATTTGCCCAGAGGGAAAATAAAAGAGAGGGGAAAAATCTCTCACACTTGTGTAGACACAAGCATGTAACATAAACATATTCCAGAGCTAAGAACAAAAACCAGACTATTTTAGTGGAAGATGTATTTAATAATGTAAGCAATGTTTTTAAATGAGTATAGAAATTGAGTTAGATGGCATCTGAATTACTCATAAGATTTGACACTGTCCTAGAAGAAAAAGGGAAGAAAGTGATGTATGATATTAAATCATTAGTTTTGTGTTATTTCATGCTTGTGACAATCAGAGCTTTTAGCAGTTTAGTGAATGAGTGCTCTGATTCTTCTGGTACGCATTGCAAGGGTGGTTATTACGTTTGGCAGAGTTTGCATCAGGCATGCTCTTTCGGACTCCCTGAATCAGATGTTTCTTATTGTGTTCATCCCAGTCTTTGTCAAACTAACTCTCGTAATGGCCTGTGCAGCTTTTACAGTGGCACATGCTGGAGCTGACACTTACTAAGCTGTCCTGTACCACATCACTCAGATTTGCCATGCACTGATTTAATGCTGACACATTAATCGAGCAGGGACCTGCAATTCAGCCATCGTGCAAACCAGACCTGAAGAAAACGCACACCAAAAATACTTGTTTGCAACATGTGGCACGGTTGCAAATGTCAGAAGTAAAAGGCAAACAAAAGGAAATGTCCATTGAACTTCTGCTTATCACAGCGTGCCTTTGATTTCGGTGCCAAGCTGAGCTAAAAGGCATGCCAAACAGTGATCTACCTTGTTGCTGCAACTGTGATGGATGCAGGTGGGGGATTCTGCACATCTCTTGCCAACATATTCTCTAGAGGCTTGTCTTCCTTTCCTTGCTCCTGGTGTGGTTTTGTTTCTGTCATCTGCTGATAATGATTTTATGCAGCTCTACATGGAACCAGGTCTTTGAGTTTATTTTTAACCTGCATGTAGGCTTTGCTGCATTTTGCCCTCTGGCCTTCCAAACAGTTCTATTGCCACACTGGAGAAGGAAAGGAGAGATAGGAACACAGTTTGCTTGGAAGTGCATTGGCACAAAATCTCTAAGTTTGAGATAAGATGCGGCTGTAATCAGATGCTTTAGGGTTATGCTGCAGACTGTTACTGTGCTTTGACTCCAGTAGGTGTTGGAAATATCCAAATAATTTATCAGGATGTTATCTCTGATAAAAGCAGATTTTATTCTCAGTAGCAGTGGTGGGCCTCCTGCAAGCAGGAGAGCACACAAAAAGCAGTGTTACATCTTTTATCCCCTGTTGCTTGACACTTATCTCTTTCTCCCCTGGTTCCTCTTTGGCTGAGTACTGCAAGTTCACACTCTTTCGTGATGCTTCACTAATCATACAAATACAAAGTAAACACAAATCCTTGCCACCCAAACACAAATATTTTAATTGGTTAATTCCCTTCTAACAATTGCTTTCTTAACAAACATCTGGTCATAACTTTTGGATGTCTGCTTTACAACATAAACATAACCTCTTAATTGTTTGATTACCCCCTAGCATTTGTGCCCTGTACACTGGTTGTTGTTCTGGTCATCCATCTGTCCTTGCATAGAGATAAGCTCAGGAAGATAGAGCGGAGTATCTTGATGCCTGCCTGTCACATCCCAACCTTCTCATGGAGTGAGACAGTCCGGCCTTGTGTAGAGGCCCTAGCTTATTTAATGTTTGTTTTGCTGGGAATTTCTTATCCTAACAGAACAACCCTACAATATGTTTTCTAATCCCTAACACTATACCCACATTGTTTGGAACATTTAACAACTACTGCAGTTTTGCAAGAAAGAATTGATCGCATAATTCAGTAATAATGTTTCTAAAACATGCTGCTAACACATACAGTATTTCTACTTTTTAGATCAGCTATTTCCAAGGATAAGTTGCAGAATACAAATACATTATGTTCTACTTCTTCAAACTGATTGCCTTTTTTAAAATCTAATGCAGAAACAACATTCCATTCCTACAAAGTAGGTAGTTTATTTCATTTCAGGAATCTAAAACTAGTATTTGCAAATATTGTATCTCTTTTTCTTTACATATTTGAGACCAGACAGCAAGTTACTTTTTTCACCAAGTGTAAGTTTCATAGTTGTCCTCAAGGCACCCTTGCATACACAAAAAATTACTATCTCAGATGTGTGCTATCTTGGTTTTGTATGGCTTTGTAGTGTTGGGTGAAGTATTGGGAAACTTCCAGCTTCTTATTTCAACAGTATGTTGTCTTGTTTGTCAGCTTGAGTGAATAACAAGCTTTGTTACCCTACTAAATTGCACTGTTTTTCTCCAAAACGCTGATCTGTAAAGTTAGGTTTGCAGAATTTAATCAGTATTATTTTTCTGAAACATAGAAGGATGCTGCTGAGTTGTATCTACTCATTATCAGAAGTTTAAAAAAAAAAAAAAAAGTTTCCTGAAAAACTTTGTGCAGAAGAGTACTTTGAAATACAGTGAAGTGAGCGTTGATAACTGTTGTTTTCATTTTATTTTTGTTTTATGAAGTCCTGGATGAAAACAATCAGAACATCACGATATGTGTGCCTGAATTTAGCCAAGGACTACATGGAGATGAAAACCTGGTTACAGGCCTGGGTACTACCATTCTCTTTGGCTGCATTTTATATTCTTGGTAAGTCTTGGCATTTACATTTGCTATAAATGCAATGTTGTCTATCTAATGATGGCTTATAGCAGTCCTCAAGCAAAGTAATAGCAAGAAATAGAAATTTGATGGAAGGTTCCTATTCCCTTAATTTCAGAAATGCCCAACAACTTTTGAAACAACCATATTTCATTAAAACTGAATAGAGCAATTTACATCTGAAGGTGGAGGGAAAAAGTTTACACTGTCCATGAAGGTGATCAGTCTCAAGGTGCTTTGATTCTGTATTTACTATCCTGTAGGAATAACTCCATGCAGATATGTCTGTCTAAGAAAGCTGTCTGAAATTTCTGTAATATCCTGGCAGAAGCTATCACTGTTCTCCTGGTGTTTTTGGAGTAAATAAATAAACAAACACGTGTGGGACAGTTCAGGGCTTCTTTTGAACAACTTGTGAGCACAGGACTGCTATCAGCATTTGTCAGCAATGTCTTCTCTGAAATCTGTCCCTGCCTATAGTGTTGTGATGCTCACCTAGAATTATTGCAGCTTGCATCAATAAATTAAATCATAGACCAAGGGGGAAGGCAGTTGCTGATAATAAAAACATAATGTATTACTGTTTTGACTGTGAGTTGTCAGGAAAGAGCTCTGCCTGTCTGTTGTAGGTTTTTGAACAGTTTTTGCTTCTGAATGAGTCCAGAGTTTGTGTACTGAAACTCTAATAATTCTAAAGTGAATACAAGAGGCATTCTGAAGAAGTAGCGCAGCAAATCCTCCGTCATCAAATGTGGATATTTGTCCATTTAATTCTGATATCAAACATCATATGGATTTGTACTTTGGATCTAGTTTTCATGGAACAGTATTTTCCAGTGCATCAGGAAATGGAGGGTGTTTGGGGAGTAACTTTCAGGTAGCCAACCTGCTGGGGAAATGCGCCGTGTATTTGGGAAGATGAGGGCTGTCAAGGGGAATTCAAAGGGAATTCTGACCTATTCCTTATGGTGGATGAGTGCATGCAGAGCAGTTAGCGTGCTTTTTTTGTGGGAAGTTCAATTTATAATCCTGAGAGGGGAAGGCTGGCTGGATAAGAAATATTTTTTACCAAAACTAGAAGAGATTTTCCCCAGCGATTCATGTCATGCAAGAAAGTGATTTCTAGCGACTGGAATACTGACAAGCAGTTGGTGATCTGCTCTGAAAGCTGACTGCTGCCAGCGCCAGGTTTCTTTACTGGCAAAGCCTGCAGAGAAGCATTTTATGAATGCTGAGCCCAAGCAATGGCTGTGAAATTAGAATAAAAACATTAGTTGAGCACAGCAGGGAAGATCTTGTCTGAAATGCAGATTGGAGTGCTGAGCTATTTGCTGCTGTCTGCAGGTGATGAATTCACTGCCTTTCAGGAGTGACCTACTTTTAAGCTTCTGATTCATTCATAGTTGGCCTGTGGCCGTCTGTAGGCGGGTTTATGCTTGTGCAGAAGAAACTTTTCACATGCTTTGCACTTGTGTTTCCTGTGGTGAAAAATCACCCTCGTAGGCTTATGCAGGGGATTCTTACTCTGTCTTCCTTTGTTCTTAGTTTGACCTCAACAACACGTGCAAGTTCTGAGACACTGAGAGGAATATATGCAGCACCTGAAACTGAAGTGAGTTCCTGCTTCGTCTGCACAGATTTCATTGTGTGCTTTTCTTGCAGTTGTTTTCATGGCTTACTAGTCTGTAATTAGGTAAAAAACACAAGAATGTTTGTAGCACACATGCTACCTACTCTGGATCTGGAATTTTATGAATATGTGTCCACTCTGACCCTTCTGCAGCTGTTGCAGGTCTCTTGGCAGTGCCTTCAAGTAGTAAAATAATTTGCCGCTCTTGCATTTTAGCAGTTTGCATAGCATTGTGCAGACTTCTTGTAAATCTTTTGCTTCTCACAAGCTTGTTTTCTCATTGCAAGAAAAGGTCTACTGGGCACTGAGAAACTAAAGACATTCCTGAACATTATTAATCCTGATTGCTTTTGTTGTGCACATGAACTTTGATTAAAAAATGAAAAACAGAGGTGCAAAGCTCAAAGCATGTGTGGGAATCCAGAAATGCAGATGATATTTGCAGCACCTAGATGTGAGAAAGCAAAATATGTTTAGCTTTAGGAGCATGTCAGATGCTAGAGAAGTTTCTCTTTACCTCTGGAAAAAGCACGTAAGCCATGACTTTGTAGCATCACAGCATGGCTTTGGGGCTGACGTGTGCCTTGCTGCAGGAGGAGCACAAGCTGCTGGATGCAGCCCATTAACTGGGAAGGCTCAGCTTTTGCATAGCAGCACTTGCCAACATAGTTATTTCTGCACCATTTGGTTTTAAAGAGCAGTACAAGAGCCACTGAACATAAATGTAAAGAAATGACTGACAGAGAGCAACTAATTGCATTGATTGTTTTGTCTGTAATAGAGGTCCTTTGTCTTCCCAACCATGAATATAAGCATAGCTTTACAGTTGCTAGTGGTATACAGAAAGTCTTTCGGTGTCCATGCTGAAGACAGTTGAGTGTTCGGAAGGGCTAGTTGTATGTGTGCCAGCGTTGCTATTAGCATCCCTGTGTGTGTGCAAGGACTTAAGTTCTGACAAATGAAACTCATTAAAAGGTTTGAGGGAATGGAGGATTTTCTTCAGAATCTTAATACAGCCAAAGGGAAACTCAAGCTAAAGCCCTTTAATTTGTTGAGATACAGAATAAGAGTTTTCCTTAAACTCTTGACCAGTCACTTAAGAAACAAGAATGAGCTTTTTGACTTCTCATGAATTTATGAACCCAGTGAGTATATGTAATCACGGGTATGTAGAGTGAAAGCTGTAGTTTTTTTCCGTTGGAATCTCTGAAGGCTTGACGCATTCCAGAAGTTACATGCTATCTTTATCAGACAACAACAAAGTTAAATCCTAGAGAGGAATTCTATCAGAAAAAAATAATGTAGGTGATGCAGTACACAGTACTGTGGTCTCATGCAAAAAGTGTACCTTTTTGTGTGTTTATTGTTCTCTCCGCACCATTTTTCCATTTACATTAACTCTCGACACAGGGAGTGTCTGACCCCTCAATAGACAATTTCAGCTTTCCTTTTTCCATCAGTTAAAAAAAATGTTCTTTTCAATGAAGCAGTAAAAACAACTTTCTGCTTGTACTCAGTCTGTTTTCCATTTCAGCAAATTTTTTTAAAGATAAGTACATTTGCGTTTCTGTTATTCCCAATGCCTGAAGCAGTTTTGCAAGTTCCTTGTATCTTCATTTCTGTAAAGAATTTATTTAAATGACACTTACATGTGAGTCTGAGTGTCCTTCTGAATCCTTAATATGCAACCACATTAGCTTTTCCACCATTTTGTCATAGTTTACGCTGTAACACTGCCAATATTTGATCTTGAATTATATAAAAGAGATTAGTTCCTAAAGATTGATTTATTTGCTCCCACCTCTTTCTGAGTACGTTTTTCCAAAGCTTAGAAGCTGCTCTTACAAACAACTTGGCAAATCTTAATTGGAGTTTTGTGCCGGTTGGAAAAACAAACCAGATTTTTCTAAATTAGTGCATGTAACTTGGACATAAAAGGGCCTTCTTCACTAGTTGTTCTGCTTCTTTGCTCCTGCACAGGCTCTCACCGTTCCTGTTGTTTATTCCACAGGTAGCTCGTTGCTGCTTTTGCTGCGTGCTTGATGGAGATGGTAATTACATTTTCACTGCAAAATTTACCCAGCCTAGTGGATTCAGGTCAAACTAAGAGAGTTAAAGGCACAAGCACAGAAAGTTTGTTGTATCCTTATTTTGTAGCATGTTAAAGTGAAACATCTGAAGTATTCAGTGTTAGACTAAGGAGGAAAGTAGCACATATATCAATACTGTCTTCAAACCACAGGCTAGTTAATAATTCCTTAACGAATGACTTGATAATGCAACATACAGAAAGAACATGGGTGTGACTGACTGTGGGATTTTTGGATCAGCAGCACCACAGGGACTGTGGTTCAGGAGTTCAGGAAGGGTGTGTCCTGTTTGCAGAACTGGTACATGAAGGGATATCAACCTGGACTTGCCAGGAGAATATCCTACAAGTAGACCCAGACACTAAATACATAGTCCAGACACTCAAAAAAATGGCAGTACCAGCAACTGGATGCAGGGCAGCCTTTCAGTGACACTCCCAATTTTTTTTTACTGAAGGCTTAGGCCCATGCCCTGAGGGAAGGAAAATGCTCTGTCTCCTAGTTTGCAGAATCACACTAGACATTTTGTTCTGTTTTTCATGAATCTAGCCACTATTTTCAGTTCTCATTAAATTTGCTGAAGTTTTCTTCTTTCTTGTCTCTTACAGCTGATGCTGAGGAGCGTGTTGAAAAAAGGGGAGGCCAGACTGTGATTTATGATGAAAAGAAAGGCACAGTGTACAGCTATACCTTCTTCCATTTTGTTTTCTTCCTGGCTTCACTCTACGTAATGATGACAGTAACTCATTGGTTCCAGTAAGTGCATTTCTTTTAAAGCCAAAAAACTAATGTCTCTGTGCACTGAGAGGAGAGATCTGTGTGGCAGTGCCTGCTGCTAGTGATCTCCTCTCATAAAGTGGGAAGCTGCAAGAGAGGGTTTAAGTCTTTCCTGGGGTATTTTTGAGCAAGCTCTTGCTCTGCAAATAACTGCTTTCCCTGTGGCTGTGTTAGCCTAGTTGAAGTGTGTGACCCGCCTGGAGAAACAGAGGCTACTGCACTTTGTGATATGAACAGTGAGTTTATTGCTTTTTTTTTTTTTCTTCCTTCTTCTCTTTAACAGCTATGAAAGTGCCCAGATTGAGAAATTCTTCACTGGAACCTGGTCCATCTTCTGGATTAAGATGGTCTCCTGTTGGTTTTGTGTCTTTCTCTATTTATGGACTCTTGTTGCTCCTCTCTGTTGCCCAACCAGACAGTTCTCAGTGTGAACACTCAGAACTTTCTGAGTGTTTTATCTTTTTTTTCCTCTTTTTTTCCTGTTACAAATAAAGTTCAGTGGTCACTTTGTAGTGAGGAAACACGCATTGCCTCCTTATCATAATATACCAGATAGTAACTTTTTAGCTAGATTAAAATAATTGAAAACTTTTTTTAACCTTTTTTAAATTGTAAGCAAGTGTTGCTCAAGGGGATGATTCTGTTCCAAAACTTTTTAAGACAGATGTGCATAGTGCAAAGAACATGATTGTTTCATGAATAGAAGTAAATGAAATGCTTTTAGAATAATTGACAATCTTTCTCTGACCTTATTGGCAAGAAAATTAAAAAAAAATGGTGCAGATATCAAACATTCACAGAAGATACATCTTCTAGCAAAACACATTCCTTTTTATACTGTTTATTAACCATGTCTTTTGCAATGATGATGTGAACTGCTGTTTTGTACAGCCTATAATTCTTGTAAGTAGTACACAAATCCCTTTTTTCCAGAAACATACCTAAATACTTCTGTAGAAATAGAGAATATATAAAAGTTTGACTGCCAAACATTGTTTAAATATATTATAAATGACTATATTATCTAGACTGAGAAAGCAATCTGCCATTGAAAATAGAGTATTTATCCTATTGTAACTTTAACAGGCACCTGAACATTTTATGCAATTCAGAACTTATCCAGTTATTAACAGTGGGGAGTTCTACACACAGAGATTCTTCAGCTCTGACTTTGATTGATTTTGCTTTGCCAGATTAAGATTAATAACTGCAAGTTTTGTGTACTGTACAACGATTTAAGATACGGTACAGTCTTTATTCAAAATGTTTTCTGCTGAGGAAATAGTAATTACAAGAGCACTGTCAGTTGCTGTTAACTTTAAATGTGGAGTGCTCAGTTAGTTTTCTATCCTGTTGTCTCTGTGTCTAAGCATCTCCCAGGGTCTTCAGTTTTGTTTCCGTTACTGATTTGAAAATAGAGTGATAGTCAGAAAGAAGACTATAGTCATCCTCCTTTTCTGCCTGTGTTGTTTGGAAGCATTCTTCCTAACTGCTATACCTTTATACTTCTCTGTTGGCATTAGTTTTGTTGTTGCAATGGGAGACAGACAACAGATCTGTTAATGGGAATGGAACTTCTTTTAGAGTGCTCCTATTTCCAGTAGTGGGAGAAGGAGTCAGGAAAACAAAAGCAGAAAACACAAGTGTGACAGCAGCTGCCATAGTACAAATGACTGACTTGACAACATAAAGCCCTACTATCTATATATATGTGTGTGTGTGTGTACACACACACACACACACACACACACACACACACACACACACACACACATATGTGTGTTTATGTATATATATATGTATATGTATCTTTTTTTTTCTTCTAGCAAACAACTTGGTGGTTGGACAACTCAAATGCTTCAAGTTCTAAATAAGGCTGAATCTACTTAAATTATCTACTTATCAGGGGGAAAAATTTACAACTGAAAGTTACCCCCAAGGGTTTTTTTCTTCTTTTTCTGTGTGTGTGAGTACACATATACATATATACAATGCGACGTGCAAGTTATAAACCAGAAGAACCAATTTAGCAGGCATAGGGTGCTTTGCTTTGTTTTGTTTTCTTTATTTGAAAACATGATCGAGCCTTAAGTGCTCAGCCAATGCTTTCTACAAAACAAAAGCACAACACAGAGGCCAATGAGATGGCCAAAATATTTATATGCCTTATTTGTTCTGTTGCAATAACTGATAGCTAAGGCACATCTGGTGATTGATCCTAATGTAATACATCTCAGTTCTGCTCTTGTTTTGTTTGCCATTTTCAGATGTCTTTTTGCTGAGGTATCCTAGAGCTCGTGTCCTGCTTGCAATTTGCTAGTGCTGTTATCTTCCCAAATTCTCACACTCTTACCTCAAGGAAAATTTGCAGGCATGGATGTCCTGGACATTACCTACTGCAGTGACTAGGAGCCTCAAAATGCCTCTGAAGACTGTGGAAAGGAGGAATCTCTTATAGCTTCAGAGCTTTAAAAGCTCGTGGCCAGTTTTTGTCATTCTTGCTTCTGCTGGGAGATGCTGGTCTTGTTAAGAACTCTGTTAGCAGGGGGCCCATATGCTTGGCTGCATTTGGAATCTAGCAAAGCAGATCCTTCTGCAGCAGAAAGGCATTTGTTACTGTGTTTGCAATCAGGAAGCATTTAATTGTCGTCTCTAAGATAAGAGCTTATGGACTTTGCAGTGATGAATATTGTATCGCCTTACTAGTAGCAGCTGTTCTGACAAACAATCTTTATCCAGAACTTAAACTGTGAGCTGCAGCTGAGATAGTCCAGCCCTGCAGTCCTCCTTTGGTGAATGTTTGCTACGTTCTCTAATATAGAGAGGCACATGGGAGTTGCCTTCTAGTGTCAGTTATATTGTGTCAGTATGAGAAAACAAACCTATTTTATTAAAGTCAGCAATGTTATTCTAGCAGAACAATCTGGGCAAGATGCTCTACAGAAGCAGGCATGCATTATGTCAGGTTGTAAGTCGGTGAATGGCAGCTGTTCTCTGAATCTGATGAAAGGGAACTTGGTCACAAATTTGGATGATTTTAATATGTATCTTGGCTAACAGACATTCTTATTTGCTTATAAAAATGCTTATTTTATGTAGGTAGTATTTGCCTACATAAGGACTTGATGCACCTCCTCGTGCGCACTTTTTATAACTTGTATTTAGGGAAATAGATTTTGCACAGAGGAAACAGGGTTGTAAGAGGAAACTCCACAATGAGGCCTGAGTTCATTCTTCTTACACAGATTAGCCTTGCTGAGTTGTTCCTTCACCCTTTCACCAGCTATTGACTGGTGAACTATATGTTTGTGGGTATACAGAGGGTGGAACAGGGCAGTGCCAGTCTATGCTGTTCTGTCTGCATCTGAGCAAGCCTTGTGGGGAAAAGACCCTGGAAATAATTCTGAGACCCCAGATCTGACTCTGGGTCTCCAGGCCTTCCTAAAGAATTAAATATCGCTGGCACCTCGATACACAAAGCCTCAGTGAGGCACAACCTCTTGCTGGCCAGGCAAAGATTTCAGCCTTAGCATTTGTTGTGAGATCTGTACTGTGAACTTTGCACACACAACTACTTAGTAAAAATCTTGGGCTAGGGTCTAAGATTCAAATGCTCAAATCACTGGTTGCTAACAGTTCACAGAGATGGGCTTTTAGAATCTTTTTAACAAGTGCCTTCAGACTTACTGCCATGAGAGCAGTGGCACTGGAACTGGAAAACCTGAACTGAGCCTGCAAAGCGGTGCTGCCTTCAGCACTGCATACGAGATGTGTTGATGCCTGTGATGCGTGTGGGAGACCAAATAACCTGTGCTTGGCCAGATGCTGAGTCTGTCCTGCACTGATGCTCACCTTGTGCTGTGGCTGTTCTTTGAATTTGTTCCCAGGCATAAGGCAGCGTTGCAGCATTTCTGGTTCCTGTTACTTTTGAGCTGTGTAAAGTGAGGAAGCTGCTGTTTTTAGACGGGAAGACTGGAGGCTGTGCTACGTTTCCTCTAATTAAACCTGAGTTTGAGCTAGTGTCATTGCTCAGAGGACTCTTAGAGTCAGTCCACATTGGCTGAAGTTAGTTCTGCTAGTAAAATGAAACAGCGTATTGGTGTTTTTCTACCTGTTAAAATTGCAATCAGAAGAAGGGTTACTTGGAACCTCATTGCTGCACTGCTGTCTTTGACTGGAGCCATTTTTCTTGTGACAGCAACCAAGAACTGAAGCAATGTTGACTGCTTTTTATTTGGGGATAAAACCAGTAGGATAAACTCAGAGAGCAAGTCTGTGAATCCAAATACTGGACTAACAAATGAAACCACAAAAACCGTATGAAGAACATACGGAAAGCAGATGGATGTGTTTGCTGTTTACCACTCGTTCTTCCAAGCGCACAGGCTGCCCTTGCAGCTGGATGCTGAGTAAGGAACTTCACTGTGCTCACAAATCAGTTGTGCATTTCTGATGCTTCTAGCTTCGTACTTCAAGCATTTCTGCGAGGGTCAAAAAGCTTGTACTTGCCCTGCTACTCTGATAAATCCTAGCTGGGTTTGGGCCACTTTTGTCTGAAACGGGTAATTTGGTGTTGATAATGCACGTGTAGTCCAGAGAGAGGGCTTATCCCTCACAGAATCATAAACATTGCATGTCTATTTATTTATTTATTTTGTGTTTTAGCACCTTTTTCAAGTCTTGAAGCGCTTTGATAGTATAAGCTATGCACCTGTAACAGCTTCACCAGCCACTTGTGCAGCCATTTCTGGGCTAGAGCAAGGCTATGGATCGAGGAACCACTGCATTTGAAGAGAGAGGGGAAAAAAAAAACATCTGGTTCCTAACAGTTCTCTAATTTTGACCAATGCATAAGGGAAATCTAGGAACTCAAGATACTGCTGCTTTAACTTTGGCAAGCAGCCTGCAGTGTCATGGGGATCTCTGAGCAAACTGGCAGCAAAATAATCCACTGATGGGCTTTAAAGCATGCAATGAAGAGTTTATGCTATGGACTATTACACCTTTCTCTTAAATGCATTGGTGATGCAAAAAAATTGCGAGATTGTACATATGTGGCTAAATGAGCAAGATTATTTGCAGCTAAAATTTTGTTATCTTTCTGTGGGCTGTAGAAGCAATATGTTCTCCGTGCAGGCTGTATCCTTTCATTTTATTTGCCTTTTTCTCCTTGAGTTCATTTTTTGAAAGCACTGCAAACCTGTATAACTCCCATCCTGCTGCATGGCGATGTCACTGATCCTAGAAATTGACTTCTTTGCCAGGTCTTCTTGATTCCTGCCCTTCTGTAAGAGCAGCGCTGCAGTGCTGAAGCAAAGTCGAGGGTTGTAGCTTTGTGTATAGATCAGCTTTCCTATATGGAAAATGCATCCTTGTTTACTTGAGTTGTCCTTCAAGTTCTTGTTGGAGGAAAACACATAATCAGCGCAGTGAAACTTTACTTTGTGTTTTCAGTTTTGTAAACAGTAATTTAAACTCAGTCTTTCATATGACTGTACAAGGGATTGCCAGGGGTCGAGCGCAAGGAAAGCTTTGGTTCTTTGTACTCCTAGCAGGACACATAGCCTGGGAATGGCTGCAGCTGCATTTCCAGCATTCTGGAGGCAGAAGGTGTGGTGCTGGGAGGGGATGCAGCCGCACAGCACGGTGCCTGGTGCAGCTGCTGTGGGCTATGGGCTGGGAGGCTGCCGGGTCGCGATGGTGGCCTTCTAGTGCCAGAAGAAACTCTGTAAGTTTCAAGTAGGCCACAAATCCATTTCTTCTGTTTTGTTTTTCCCAGTCCTGGTGTAGAATCATTCCACATCTGCTCAGTGATACTTTTTCTTAAAAATGTCAGATTTTTTTTCAAATGCAAACCACATTGACTTCCCCCGTTCGCCATCCTCCGATAGCTCCCACCACTGCAGCACAGCCGTGTAATTCAGAGGGGCTGCAGCTGAGCCCTGCGTGGCTCCAGCAGCTCCAGCTGCGCCAGGCAGAGCTGTGGGTGCAGCACTCGGGCTGTGTTTTTGCCAAAGAAGTCTCAGCCCGAAGCCAAGGAAAATTTTGGAAAGCTATAAGAAAATAATGTTCTGTTACGCATGCCTTAGCTTTATTTTTCCTCTTTCTGAGACTTGTCCAGGTGCTTAGGTGTCGTTGGACATCCACGCAGTCTTAAAGCAGGGAAAATTGATGTTCAGAGAACAATTTTCAACTTGTCATATACAAGCTGAGAAAATACTTACAAGGAACATATGGTTCATTGTGTGCTTTTTATTTGCCAGAAATGAATGGTGATTAGTCACATGTATACCACGTTTGAGAACTGGATGCAAACTAGGCAAAATATAAACACTTTTTCTTAATGGTGAGGCGGTTTCAATTAGTCCTTTTCTTAATATCTCAAGGGAACTTTTCATGTGTTTGTGTAATTTAGTTTTATTAGTCTATAGCCCAGTGAAGTGGAGATTTGCTAGTTTTATTTAACATTTTTGTGAGTGTTGTGATCTGTAGTAACTGTAACACTTTGACTTTTAGGGATTGGTAAGGCTTCAGAATTCTAAGAACTTCATTGTAAAATAGTTTTGTCTTTTTAAAGCATGCTAATGGTTTTTACAGACACTTCCTTTTGTATACTGAGTGAATGTATTGTTATAGGTTTAATGTTTAATGGACCAATAAAGTTTTTCTTACAGATGAAGTTGTTTGTGCTATATAAAAGTTGAAAAGTCAACTCAGGAGAAAATTCGCGTGTATTAAGATATGAAATAAGCAGCTGCTGAGCTAGCAGGATTGGTTGATTTTTTTTCCCCCCACTACATTTGGATGTTGTTTAACAGAAAAAAAAGATGTTGTCACAAATGGCATTATGCACTTCACTCTGAAGACAGAAACAGCAACATATTGATGGAAAATAGTGATTTAACACAGCTTAATTGTAAAACAGCCACTTAAGAAGATTCAAGACAAGGTGCACTTGATTATTTACTGCACAGAGATTAGCATTAACCACCCTCATTCAGACAAGTCATGAGGCTCAGAAAGGATATTTTTGCTTTCCAAATTTGAACTACAAAGGTAAGGAGCTGAGGTACAGCCAGACCCATTCCTGGTCCCAGGCTTGGTCAGTGGTTTATGTCTAAGGGTTCATTTGTGTGCAGTTAAAGATACAACCTTAACAAAGCTCCCACAGCTTAACAAACTAATATCAGTCATTTTCTGTGGTTCTGTATCAGCAAGATATCTTGACATCAAGTATAAGGGATCTGTCTGCACAGATGTAACCTCTTGAGGTGTGTCTACTCAAGTGGAGATCCTGCCTGCAGCCCAATGCCAAGTAGGTGAGCTCCAGGGGCTACAGGCTGCTTGTTATTTGTGGGGTAAGCTGGCTGATTCAGCTGCATTTGTGTGCCAACCCTGCCTTGATGGACCGTGCTCCATTGGTAGCAGTTGAGCGAGATCTTGGGTTATGGTGCAAGATAGCCCTTGGCTATGGCCCTGTTACCTGAATTTCCAAAATCCAAGAATGCAGCCATCGTGACTACACCTAGAGTTACCTGCTTAAATTAGTGATTATAGCCTGAGCAGCATTATGGCAAAAAATAAAAAATATAAATTCAGGTGTAGGGCTACACAGTCACATTTACTTCGAGAATAGGACATGGCTTCTCCATACATGCTATTGTGTGGATCTGGTCATACAGGTAAGTAGAACTGTGGGGACTGAGGCCAGGAGGAGGCCCCCATGGTGTGATGGCTGCTGATCCCTGTGCAGCTCTGGTGCCAGGCTATAGGCCATGGGTAGTGAGCAAGGCATGGGGTGAACTGTGGCCCTGCTGGGCTGAGCCAAAAACCAGCCACTTCCACCCATCTGCATGCATCAGGGCCTCGCAGAATGCTGCCATCTTCGGGTGATTCCCTCCAGGAGATGGCCATGAGGCAGCAGCAGTATTTGAAGCTTGTTCATGGTGTCCGTAGCCCTTGATTAGGAATTGGAGTGGGAGGCAGCAGCCCCAGCATTGCTGAGTATTTGCAGCTGCTACTCAAGTTGCACAGGGGTGGTGAGGGAGATGGACACACTTGACTTTAGAGATGTGAGATCACAGTGTCTCTGTTGGCCAATGGCCATGCATGGAGCTCTGCATTGCACAACAGGCTGGAAAACAGTGGTGGTGATGAAGCACTCACACACCAGGTCTGATGGATGGGTGACAGGGTTTCCAGGCCCTGAGTATGACCTTGCAGCACATCTTTGTTTGTCCACAAGAAAGAGTTAACTTCACAGATTCTGAATTTGTGGGTTATGCGGTGTCAGCACAGCAGAAGCGTGAACTCTGGCATCACATTGCCAGATCTACCAGCACTGTGGCCCACAGCTGAGCAAGATGCGGTCTTCTGCCCCGGGTGGCTGGAAGCTGCCAGCTGTGGCTTTGTTCACATACCTCCAGAAGACCCAGAGCCAGACCCTGCCTCACTCTCACCTGCCTGAGTCTGTGTACCAGGGAGAGCTTGGCTGTGGTGTGGGCACTGTTTGTTCACATCCTTATGAAAAGTAACAGCGCTGCAGCCTGCAATGTCTTTCTCTGCAGCTGTCCTTGGAGCTTGTACTGCCTTTACATTGGAAAAGGATGCAGCAGAAACACACACGGTATCCAACCTTACTGAGTTGGATACCATGCACTGGAATACTGTTTTTTGGTTTCTGTTACCCATCCCCTTCCTAATGATTGTTAACAATTAATTCAATGGTTGTTTAGGTGTTTTTTTAACTTAAATAATCACTATTACTGTAGTACTGGTTGAGAGAGCTTAGCTCTGAGCAGGGTCAGCTCTCAGCCTGGCTTGAGGTATGTGAGGCAGGACTACTTTCTATGGCTTCTTCACCTCTTTAAATCATGTGCAAGTCATGCACTGTGATGAGATCTGACTACAACTCCCTGCAGTCAGCTTTTTTGCTTTTACAGGCTATAAGTGTACTCATAATTTTCTGGAAGCAGGAGCATAGGAAAGTCTGACAGTTCTTGGAGGAGTTTGCCAAAAGTAACGGGCTGCAGAAAATTTAATCTGCTCCAAAGGTGATAGAACAGCTTCTGACCTGTGTGTAATCAGGACTGGAAAAGCACATGATCTTGGCAGCACCCATCACTTCTACTTCAGGCTGGACACAAACTCTTGTTTCTGACACATACCAGAGATAAAGTTAGAAAGACAAAATTGCACTTTCTCCCTGATTCTGTTTAATACTGAATCCAAAATGGCAACAGAATCAAACAGTTCCTGAGAATGGCTTAGGCATCATTACATTACCTGCCACTCCCTAGGTCTTTGGGCAAATCTGAAAACAAGCAAAGCCTCAGAATGTTTTTGTCTCCTTTTTATTTTCACTTTTATACAAAAAAGTCTGACATAATCACATCAATAAGAACAAGCTGAAGTGTGAACTCTTACAACAATCATATAAGAATTTAAAATACATTGTTATTGCAAACAATAAAGCAATACTAGTTTGCTTTTACTCCTTAAATATCCCCAACACCAAATTGCTGAGCTTGAAATTCTTGAAAGTCCTCTGGGATGGTATCTGAAAGCAGGAAAATACAGGAAAGATCAGTCTCCTTATGACAAAAGGAAGAACTTAGCTACTTAGTTGCATGTCTTTAGTTAAAGCCTGGTCTTTTGTTTACATGTTAAGAATGAACTGGGACTGCTCTCAGTGTTAGTGGATGCCACTGAAAAGCAAAGGGGCTCACAGGATAGTGCATGCTACAGTGTCAGCTCAACTGGACTGCTATAACCCTTCAGATGTTTTTGGTTTTTTTTTTTTCACCAAAAATTTTAGTAGCTTCTACTGTTACATCTGTGACAGTAAAAAGCTGACCGGAAAGGTGGAAAAAAAATTGGTGTCTTGCTTTGTAACCCAGGGATGTGCACAGTACCAATTCCTCTATTTCCCAGTTCAACTTCCCCATGGTGGCATGAAAAGCCATAAGAGGAAACATTAATCTGAGGACCAGCAGCAAAAACAAATTCAAAGCTGGCAAAGGAAGCTGCAGATGGGTCAGTGTTGTAAGAGTAGCTGTAGTGGCTGATGTTGAGTTTGCAGGGTCTTTTTGCCAGGTGCCAGAATGTGTCACCCAGGCAGCCACAGAGCAAACAGGAGAGCTGAAGGAGCAGCTGAGCAGAGTTCAGCAGTGAAGCTGAACTACCTGATTCCAACTGTGGTCTGATTCTTTCCACTCTGATGCAGGGCAGGTATCTCTGAACTCAGAAAAGGAAATAATTTCATCAACAAACAATATTTAGGGACAAAAAGTGGCAAGTATTCTGCTTTTTTCATCTGTTGGTTTGATAACTTCTTTCCTGAGCACCAAGAATTATTGTCAAGATTTCTTCACAAATGATGAGACATCAACTAAAGTATGAAAGGAATGCTGAAAACTCCACAGAATTCCTTGTGTGGACTTCACTGAACCACTGCAGTATCTGCAGCAAAGCCGCTGCCTGCTCACTGCCAGGAAAAGTACCTGCAAGCGTATCTTCAGTGAGAGCTTTGGGGTATGCTTTCTGGGAAATCACATACTGTTTCACACAATTATCAAGTAATCTTTAATTGTTAGCATCTGCTTAACTGTCACTCACAAATACCAGCCTGTGCTCAAGTGCTCAGGAACCAAGGTGCAGAGCTGGGGGCTTTTCTGTACAGCATCTGTGTCCATCACAGACTCAGCTTTGGCTTCCTAGATCCATGGAAAGTGAAGAAACTATGCCAGGCTGGCTGGTAACTTATTTTACTATAGCTGCCTTGGTCAGGCAGTGGGTGATGCCGAGACAAGGGTCAGCCCCTGGTATTTCCACCTGAAGCTGCAACTGCTGGTGGGGCAGAAAAAGCCCAACATGACCAGCTTCTGTGTGAGTGAACATGATAGGATTTATACAATATGGTGAGAGATCAGGTCAGAGCTGAGGATTTTACCCTATGTGGAGAGCCAGCATGTACCCACAATCTGAGGACTCCAGGATCTTAGGATCCTGTCCTCTCACAGACAGGAGCAATCAGCAGCACAACAGGAACAATCAGCAGTACACATACGATCCCAGCAGATCTCCAGATTGGCTTCACCTTGTTTTCAAAGCTTGAGGCACCGTGCATACATGATGACCTCAGTATGTCGTGCATGCACAACTCTCATGGTTGGCTGGTTTTAAATAACATTTCTAATTTGATGACAGCTATACTACTTAGTTAGCACAATCTCTGCAGCACAGCAACTGCTCTGGGAGGAGCAGTTGTGGGGTGTTAGTTCTCATCTGGCTGGGCTGCAGTGCCTTTCTGGTGTCAGGGGAGGCATTCAACAGCTGTAAAAAACTTGTAAATGAAAATCAAAGGAAAAGATGAAAGATGGCTTAATTCAAAAGCTGGATTAATATTCTTTCTGGTCACTTGCTAGACATTAGCAAAAAAAAAACAAAAACAACAACAAAAAAAAAACAGGAAACATTACCATTACAGCGATATTTCAGGTTGGACCAGATAATGTTTTCCTGAGAAAAGCAGAAAACTCCAAGCCGTCCTCCACGCATTGTAGTGTCTATAGTTACACCAGAGTCTGCCACCAGGTCAGAGCCTTCATAAAATCTTGCCCTTAAGGAAAGCAAACAGAAGCTGTGTTAAGTCTTTTTTAAATCTGCAGCATTTATAAAAGTAGTTTCATTTATCCGCTTTGATTCCAGCCTTCTGCCTGCAGCCAGACTAGGGGAGAAAAAGAAGTTAAGACATAGCTCCTTTGTGGTAACTGGAGCAATGCTGCACTCAGGAAAGAGCTCAGCAGAGAGGAGGTTTTCTGTGTTTTGGTGGCTGCTGCTTGATCCTGCCCTCGGTCCTCTATCAGTCCACAACTGGTAACTATGGGAGAAAAGGAGAATCAGGTTAGGTCAGCTGAGGAATGCCAGATGGATTTTGTCTCATACAGTATGAAGCTAAACTATTTTTTTTTAAATAGGCAAAGTTTCAAACATACTGCATGGAATCTTAAAGTCGCTTTCCTGACTGTCGGATTTCTTTAAAAATGTTTAGATGATTCATTCCAGGAACAGTTTTGATGATCTGGCACTTTCTTATTACAAAAGCTGTCAGCAAATTCCCAAATAACTCTGGGAATAATTGTGCCCTGCCAAATTTCCAAGCACATGCCCTGTCCTGGGGGTCTGAGCAGGACCACACTGCAGATAGCTGAGCTATCACAGCACCAGATGTACCACATCCTCAGCCTCTGGATACCAGCAAACAGCTCAGTGGATGATGAACCTGGCAGATCCTGCTTTGGGCAAGGATACCACTGTGTTAGGAGCCAGTGTGACATGCAAGAAAACAGTGGGTGGTGAAGGGAAAGAAAGTTCCTATGTCTTTTCATAAAATAAGAAAATAATTCCCATTATGCCTATTTCCTGATTTCTGGAGGCAGTTCAGAAATATGTGTACAATGAATAGAGCTTGTTGCTCACTCAAGTGCCTTTTTCCTGGATATCCTTGTGGGCTTGGAATATCTCTGTAAGACACATTATGGTCTGTGGCATTAGGCCTAAATGGACCACAGCAAGATGTGGGCAGTGTTGGCAGAGGTTCACTTCAGGCCTGCCTGCCTTTGGTTTGAAGGATTCTGTGATACTGACAGTGCCCCTTTCTTCAGCTGCAAGTCAATTAGGCTGGCTAGAGAGACTGCAACCACACTTGGGAAGCAGCTTCATGAACATCTCGATCTAAAGGAAAGCCAAAAATCTGCCACCTAGTGGCTAGGACACAGTCATCGATGATACCAACATTCTTAATCCATTGCAGCTAAAAGTCAGACACACTCACTCCACTGATGATGTACACCAGAAAAATGAATTATTATAGCACCAACTTACTGCATCTCAATTGCAGGGTGATGATTTATTGAAGAACAATCCACTTTACTGTGTTTATTCTATCACAAGTTTGCAAAATCTGTGCTGAGAATATATAGCAGTTTTTTTGCTGTTTTATTTTTTCAGAATCAAACCCTTCTGAATGATTATTTTTCTAAATAACTTTTCTTTCTAAATTAAAAAAATAAGACTAGTTTGAATGTAGTTGTACTTAACAAATAAACTTTCTGAACACATTCTCTGTGATCTCAAATCATCGTGATGATTACTAATTTTAGGACCATAGCCATGACATGGACAACTTTGATTACATATTCTGTGATAACAGCACTAAAACTAATAAAATTACAATTCAAACTAAAAGATCAACATTAAGACATTTTTAAATGTCTTTTGAGCAAACAAGGTATCATAGCCATGAAGTGGTTTGGTAGTGCTGGGCAGTTAAAACAAAGATGGTAGAAAACATCAGTAACAAAACACTTAGCTTGCAACTGTCTGCCCTAGGAAAAGAAATGCGGGTGGAAGTTCACAATTCTAAACTCTTACAGCTTCCTAACTGCAAAGCACAGAGACACCATTAGATTTTCTGATTATTTTAAAAGTGTTGAGAAACAACAGTTTAGGCAGACATATATCTGTACTTACGTTATCTATTCTTTACTCTTACCTGATATATCCAATCTGGGGTCTGTGCTGCAAGAACCAGCGGTAGGAGACTTTGTCTTTCCATCCCACATTTCGAGGGTCTTTCCACAGCAGCCTGACCTGGTCGCTGGTGTCCCCAGTGTGCCAGAGGGAGTTGCGCAGGTGCTCACCTGGGCCTGTCTTTGATTTCACAGCCTGCAGAAATACATTTTTCAAGTGCTGAAAACAAAGAAATGTAATTTCCAGCAGCACTGTCTTTCGTAGTGGGGAGGTCTGCAGAACTTCCCTCCTTCCCACTCACAAACCCACAATTTCTTTTGTAACTGCAATCACTGCTTACATAGAAAAATAATCAAATATCCAGGAACAAAGAGAAGCAGGCAATGTGACAACTAGAGCAGGGACTAAATACTCCAGTTGATGGGCAGAGGACTGTCAATAAAAACCCTTAAGAAAGTGTGCTGATTAAAAAGGCTGAGTGACAGCTGTCTGACAACAGTTTTGGTACCCAATGCCAGGAGAAGAAAGCAGCTGAGCAGCACTGCCAACACACAGCATGATGACTTTGCCATAGGCAGAAGGGCCAATGCCTGGCACGAAGGCTTAGCCCACAGCCAGGCTGTAATGACCACTGCACCCCCAGCTAGGAGGCACGAGCATACCTTCAGCTGAATGCCAGGCTCTGCAACAGCTCTGAAGGGAGTTGCTTGCCAGTATGTCTGTTCAGTCTGTTTCCACATTACCACATAAAAGCTAGAGCTGTCTTGATAGCCAAAAATAAAACCAGCGTAGTCGTCATCTGTCACTGTGTTCACATGAAAAGTGCCCTCGAAGTCAACACCATTAAAAGCAGTGTAACCTAAGGAGATGCAGGGTTAAAATCAAGTCTGCAGAAAAGGCCTTCACATGCTACTTGATTTTCTGCTGTAAAACTTGAATCTCAGAAGAGTGCACATACCAACAGCAAGGCCGGGATCACTGTTCATAGTCTGCACAATTTCCATGCCCTGTAAGATTAAATTCAGGATGATTAGTGTGCATGACAAGCAGGGTTGGCTAAGCCTAGCAGCTTTTTCTGGCCTCCTGCTAGCACACCTTCCATGCCTTTCCTCTCTGTAACACTTGCAGCTCTGAATTAAAAAGAAAGCTACAATCAAATCCTCATGTTTCATCTGCTTGTGTGCACAGAATGATTTTTCTTCTGGAGAACTGGACTTACTGGTGTTCTTTCCCTCCCTGCCCCAATTATTCTGAAATCAATGAATCTGGCCAGGATTGGGAGATGAGATGGAAAAAACAAATGGGAGATGAGCGCTTTTGCAGGGCCTCGCTCACAGAATTTCATCACAGTTCAGGATTAAACTGACTGCCAGGACTAGGCAGAGAAAGGTTTCTTATACATTTCAGTTGGTTTGGCAGAGACTTTAACAATGGGAGTGAAATGTCCATTTCTTATGACTCTGAAAACGCTTCCCTCCTGAAGACTAAAATATGTTAGTATAAACAACATTTATTGGACTTCATTTAGGAGCAGATGCTCTGCTATATAGCAAGACTTTCGAACTCTAGAAAGAACTCTTGAAATTTTACTATGTCATTAGTATTTGTCCTGTATTTGACTTCTAGCAGCAGTGAAACACATCTAGAATTAATCAATCAGTCTACAGTTATTTTAGTTCATTACAGAGTTAAAGAATTGTAGGGGTTTGAAGGAATCTCTGGAGGTCACCTAGTCCAACCCCCCTGCAAAAGGTTCCCTAGAGTAAGCAAGTAGCATCAAGCTTCAAGTTATCATGCACTGAAGGAAAACTGTTCCACTGTTAACACCTATACAAGAGTCAACAAAACAGCAGCTTCCACTTCTCATTCATTTGCAAAAGGTTTGACAAGTACAGAGCTTTTCAAACAGTCCTTCTTAGACATGTGAGAAAAAAAAACCCATGTATTTTTACCTGGTTTAGAACCACCCAGTTGGGGTCAATCTGAGCATCTCCCTCTGGGTCCAGCACCACAGTCTGATAGGCCCTGAAGTCCGTCAGGGTGATCTCCGCGTTCTCAGGGCAGACATCGATCCGATCAATTACTGTATCCTGGTCAAAATCAGACTCACACACATCCCCAACTCCATCACCTGAACACATCAGAGAAGTGAAAGTAAACTTACAGTGCAGCAAGTCACACTGGACAGACATAACTGCTGAATGTGGATGTCCAAGGAGCGGGCACAGTTTCTGTTCTGACAGCTAGTGTCTGCAGATGGGACATAAGGAGCTCTGCCTTGGCCCAAGGGCCCCTGCATGCACATAGCAACTGTCTCAGTCAGCATATGCGTTGGGGAAGGATGTGGTGTGCAAGCACCAAAACCACTCCTGAAGGCCTGACTTACCATTGTCATCTTCTTGCCCTGGGTTGGGGACTAGCCTACAGTTGTCAGGGCCTGGTGGCAAGAGATCTGGAATGCCATCATTATCATCATCCTCATCACACTCATCACCCAGCCCGTCCTTATCTGTGTCCAGCTGGGAGCTGTTGATAATGGTGGGGCAGTTGTCTGTGCTATCCTGGTGCCCATCGCCATCGCTGAAAGCACAGAGACAAAAAGAAAGAGGCATCAGCTCCCACCTCTACATAGGGAGAACACCAGTACCTAAATGGGATCCATGAGAGGCACCACAGGAGCTTGGGAAACTGAAAAGGCGGGACACCGTAACCTGGTATCACTGGGGTGGCGGGGCAACAAGGAGTCAAGGAGGCTGTAAAATAAGCTGGCAGAACTAGGCCTGAAGCTATAAAAACACCTAGATAAGGAAATAAAAGGAAGCCTCACAGGGAGTGGGGAAAGATACAACAGCCCAGGATTCCACATGACATTTACTCCTACACATTTACAAGTGTGTGCTTCCAATACCTGTGGTGTCACCAATCAGAAGTCACAAAGGCAACACAACAAGGGGTCAACGGCAAGCATGTCCATTGTCCACATGTGTTTTGGAGCTCATGAATCTTTGACTGTGAGTGTGAGAGAAATCCACAGGAGAATCTGCACGAGCCCAGAAATCAGACTTGTTTTAAAATAAACAGTTTCAACCTCCAGCACGCTGAGTTTTGTTATGTTACTTTTCCTGATAAGACCATACAGTAAGGAGGTGAGTTCTGCAGCTCCCACATGCCACACCAACTCATGGTGCTATCAGCTGTGAAGTAATGGAGTACACATAGTAGGGACACAGACTATAGATAAGTTCAGGAAGGTTGGGAGTGACTGCCTTGTTTCTTAATTTGTATGATTAAGTATATCCTAATAACTGAGGAGAAGGAAAACTAAAAAAAAAAAAAAAAAAAAAGGCTTTCACTTCTTGTCTTCAATAGATTTTTTTTTTTTTTTTTTAACCCAAGAAACAACAATTATTGTGTTTCTAGTGTGGATGCACAGCTCTGATGAGATTCCATTCCCCAGGAGAGCTATAGGGGTAGATTACTTCAGATCTATGCCAAGAGCTACAGCAGTGTCCTGAAGTCAGATGTGTTTTATACATTCATCATAACCAAAATAATTTCTGGAAAGTGTGGATGTTTCCTTTCAGTAGCTTTTTGCAAGTGCAGCAGCACTACAGTTTACAGGTATCCATATTCCCACCTGTTTTTCCCTGATAAAAGCAGGGCTAAAATTTTAGGTAAGAACAACCAACGCCTGCAAGTTCTTAGGGTGAAATGCAGTGAGGACTGTATACATTTATCTACTACTGCATGGTTAACCTCAGGTCTATGTGGTCTAACAGAAGACATTTCCTATACACTGGTTAAGTTTCAGGAAAGAACAAAATGTCCTTCTTTGAAAACAAGAAATAAACAAGGCCTATCTTGTTCTCAAACAATGAGGGCCCCCCATCAGCTACTACACCAAGACTGGGAAAACTCATAGCAGATGTGGTAAAGTAGGTTCCCCTGCACTCGCCATTCTGAACCGTAGCACCCACCAATGCCTACAGGATGAGACTCCACAGTTTGGCTGTGTCAGTTCTGGAATGAGCACTTCCCTGCTACCCTCAGAGTGTGCTGTGCAGAACATGCTTCCAGCCAGGCAGAAGGCAATTTGTCACAGGACACATTCCCCTGAACATGAAGACTGCAGATGAGCCTTGTCACTCTTGCTGTACTAAAGCAAAGGGTTGTATTTGAAAATGCTTTGTACATGATAATAAAATTCTGAAACACTGTTCTTATGGAAAAACACATACCTCTTAAATGTGAAACTTCTGCTAAAGCATTAAAAAAAAGGGATGAAAAATAAAGAAAAGTAGAAAAAAGCAAGCTCCCTCACCAAGAAGCTCTGAGCAGCGCTTTGAGTTTTACAGAGAGAACTGTTATGAATATCATTTCCACAGGAACTAATAGGAAGTATGTGTGAACATGCGGCTAGGGGTAAAGGGCTCCTCTACTGTATTGCTACAGGAAAGTGAAAAAAGAAGGCTTACAAATCACAACGTTTTTTTTTTTAATTATATTCTTTTGAGAAGGTACTGAAATCAAATCCAGTCTCATATGAAGGATAACAGCTCCAGGAATCACTACCATGCTTCAACTCAAGAGTAGCCTTTTCCACTTCCCTTCTGTTGCTATAAACCATGATACAGCATACCTGTCCTGATTGGTATCACAAGAATCTCCAACCAGGTCATTGTCAACATCTGACTGCAAAAGAAAACAAAGGTAGTTCCCATATCAGCTGCGGAAAGCATCTATTAAAATGGCAACAATAAAACATAAGTAAATAACATGCAATTAAAATGAAAACATGGAAAAACATTTGCTTTGTAAAACTTATTTCCTTCTTTGCATCTTATTTCTTTTTTCTGCTTTATTACAGAAAAAAAACGGAATGATGAAAAAGCATGTTTAAATAGGGTTGGAATAGCTTAGGAGGCGAAACACAAGTAAAATTCCTCAGTTTCTAGAGATACATACCATACATTTTTAACCTAGGTTCATTTCTTAAGTGAACAAATTTCCAGCATAAGTTAGTTACAAAGGATTTAATCAGAAGTTTCTGTGTCAGTGTCACTGACTTCTTACCTACAAGCAATGAAAGTTTTGCTAAGTAAGGACATCAGGATTAGGTCCTCATGAAAGAAATACTGACTGTAACTAAATCACACCACTGTGGGAGTCTGGCAGTGGACTCTGTCAGACTGGAGCAGGCTCACATGGAGCATGACACTGGAAGACACTGGTGATAGTGCTAGGGAAGTGATGCTAGCAACATCCAAAGATACAAGAATATACCTGTTGGCTTCCCATCTCTGCAAAACCTCCCTGAATACCTACTGTCAAAAGAGAAACACTGTCTGCTTGGGTTGCCTCATTCTCTTAGGTCTTTCTGGATCTCAGCAGTCCCTCTCCTTAAACGTAAATGTTTATTCCTTCTGCCTGCTAACCTGATTTGGATTGCTGACTGTAGGACAGCTGTCACAGGCATCACCAACACCATCGTTATCCTTGTCCTCCTGGTCTTGGTTGGGGATCCTCTGACAATTATCTAAAAGGTTCTTAATACCTAGCAAAAAGTAAACAGGATGTTAATTTAAAAAAAAATCAGTACCAAGAATAGAAAATACATTGCTCCTTTTCAATAACTACTTAATCCTGCATAACATTATAAATATGCACAGCAAATCTTTTTTATGTGTATCCATTCATTTAATCACTGTTAGAAACATCTTGCTGAAGAACAGTTTTCAATCCAATCACACATCCCTCATTAGTTACACACACTTCATTCTGTCACGTTCTCTGTGTCAGATTATAGAACGAAATATTTTATCTTCAGTATTATTCCTGAAAGACAGTGACTTTTCTTACTTCTTTCAAGATTCCGACAGCAATGGACATAATTCATCACATAGCCCTGGATAAATCTATGGCACGTTAGCACCTTTAAGGGGTTACTGAAGGACCAATGATCTTAACTTAAACCAAGTTTTGTACCATGTTTATCTATTATAAAGTGTTTGACACTTCAGATGGAGGCTAAAAGGCATAAATTGATCTAAAAGAAAATTACTTAAAGCAGAGATTTCATGAAAAAGGGCAACGTGTTACATGACAGGAACTGTTGGCAGAAAGTTGTTGTAATGCACAACAATTTCTGGGTAAATTTCAAGAATATCAGAAAAGCTGTAAGTGAAGAGTTACCAACCATCTCCATCCATGTCATCATCACAAGCATCTCCTTTCCCATCACCATCTGTGTCCTTCTGGTCATTATTTAGGACACTGCGGCAGTTGTCACAGGCATCTCCAAAGATATCTTCATCACTGTTTCTCTGGTTAACATTGGGAGTCAAGACACAGTTATCCTGCAAAAGACACAGATCCAGATCAGATATAATGGAGCAGTGAATCTTGCATTTCCAGTTCAGTGAGCCATTTCATATTTTACATGAACATTAGCTCTGGACCAGATTTCACTACCTCTCTCTCAGAGCTTTGCATTGTTCTACACACCGCAGGAACACAAAACATGAACACTGAGTATCATAAAGACTTATTTATAACTTTGACAGCTGATTCTCATTTTGGATGGGTCCACATAAGTAACCTGCATCTCAGCAGCATTTGTCAAGGTCTGTAAATGCTCTCGATGAAAGGTGATGGCCATCTTCAGGTAGAGACTCAAAATAAAGCTAAAATACTTGGAAAATCACAACCTGAACTTCTGTTCTCTATATTCTGCAGTAATGTCCCCACATGGAAATCTCTTTCAGAATGTGATCCAAAGCTTTTTCAAGTTACTGGCAAGACAGCCATTGATTTCTGCAGGTTTTGTATCTCCCACTGACTGTGATGTCTGGTCAAACTGCTCTTAAAAAAGAAAGGTAGTAATATAAGTAATGTACCTAAAGGTCATGCTAAGGGACAGTGAAAGAAGGCAACAAATTCTGTGAATAAAAAGCTGTAGAATTTGATGTTAACACATAACAATGGAGCATATGCAGGTGGGACTTAAGGCTGGTTGGGCAGCCTTAGGGTTTTTTTTGCATGTCTTTTATTTATTTATTTATTTATTTATTCGCGTCTTACAAATGGGTGTCTTATATTTTAAAAAAAAGGAAGTGGAATTTAAAAAGCTGCTGACAGTGAACTGCATTGAATAATTAGCAAATAGAAGAGAACTAGATTCCAAATTCACTGCCTACTGCAGTAATTTGAGATCCTTCTGTCTACATAGACTCCTGTACCCCAATGTGTACAGAGTACCTGCTCATTGGGAATGCCATCTCCATCTGCATCTTCATCACAGGCATCTCCAATCCCATCATCATCAGCATCTTCTTGTCCAGAGTTTGGTACAAACTTACAATTGTCCTAAAGAAGAGAGACACGTTAGGTGTACTGTGAGACGAAGTCATTAAAATTATGAAAGTATCTGATTTTCTATTATTGTTTAATTTAAATGAGATAGAATTTATTCACAGGAATTCAGTAACTTGAAAAAAGATGAATACATATTGTCACAGTTCTTATGTTCCTCTTCATCCCCTAAATCTTAGAATTAGTAGAGCATTAAGAAAGAATTTCTTACCTTTCTGCAGCTTTCAGCAGGGCAAGAGAGCTCTTCATTAGGGTAGCCATCAATGTCAACATCTTTTCCACAAATATAACCATCACCAGCCCAGCCAATGCCACACTATCAATAAAACAAGGCAGTACTACCAAAAGATTAATAGATCAATGCAGTAATATCAACTTTGAAAATACTAATATATGAAGAGGCGTAAACAGGCATTGTAGTATACTGAAATACACCTTAGCATCTCCCAGTGTGGAAAGTAAACTATAATTCAAGTTCTCTGTATCTAGGAACAGTTAGCATAAGCTAAGGTTTTGTTTTAAATGGACTGTCTGGCTGCAACACTCAATGATTTCAAAAGGAGTTATACTTTTTTTTACAGTAATCAACAGGAATGAGTTTTGGTTCTTTACCTGCAGCTCGAAAAAAGAAATGCTGAGGTACTATGTGCATGTTCTGCCTCGATGCAGCAAGGGACCAAGAATCAGCTGGATGTTTTATTCAGTATTTCATTGATCAGAGAATATTTTAATAGAAAACTGTTCTGGCGGTTACTGAGTTTGTATCAGCGTAAGTACATCAGCACACAAGTTCCTCCTAGCCAATGACATAGGCATTATTCAACGCAAACTCTAATTTGTAACTGAACATACGCACAGAGAAATTCATGTGGCCTCTCCTGAAAGCAAGGACTTGCCTGATACAAGTATCTAGGTATCTTTCCATTACTGCATGGCCTTAAAACAGCCTCATTTCTTCTTTGAAAAAGATGGCCTTAATATGAGACCAAAGCAAGCACCAGCAAAAGCATGTACTGCATCCAAATTCAGGGCATGGGATTAGACTCTCTTCTCCCATTGCAACCTCAAAAAAACTACAAAATACAATTAGACTGTTATAATAAACAGTCATATGTCACTTAGTGCCCAGCTGCTCCCAGGGAGGGAAAGCACAATGCAGTCTATACTGTGCATAGAATCTGTGATCTCATTTGGAAACCTACCATCTCTATCAGCAGACAAATACAAGCACTGTGGGTATGCTGACAGAAACCGTAGTTTTGGTTATGCAGCCAAAAACCCCCTCACTCAGTAGAGCACCAAGAGAGGGAATTGCCCTTGTGATGCATTTTGTACAACAACACTTGTGAATCACAAAGAATCACAGAATTGCAGTCATTAGAAAGGATCTCTGGGGATCACCTACTCCAACCCCTCTGTGAAAGCACATTCCCAGCAGTAGGTTGCAGAGAGAGTCCTTTCTGAGGAGAATGCAGAAGGTCTATAAAAACCATTCCCAAAAAACTGTAATTACACAAATGTACGTAGCTCACAAAGCAAATATGGCACATGAGTATGGCTGCCTTATAGAAGTGATGCAGGAGGGAAAAAAAATTGCAAGATAGACCCAATTTGGTTATTTTCATAACTGGTCTGGGCCAGTGTGCTAGTTTGATTACTCAACTGTACTGATATAATGACCACAGAGACTTGCTTACTTTCAGCTGTTATTAATTGTACAAATGAATGAATTTATGAACTCACAATACATGTCACCTCTCCTCGCCTTTCCTCAATACACCGGGCATGGACACTGCATGGATTGAGGGCTCGACTTCTGCAGCTTCTCTCAGCCTGGCACCCCCTGATTTGGTCGCCTGTATATCCTGATTTGCACTGGCCACAGCGATAAGAGCCCTGTAAGAACAAAATGTTACTTGCAAGCCCTTTTTAACATACTTTTTAAAGCAAGTGTGTGAGCAAGACTCATGTCACACTGCTTACTCTGTGCAAATTCACTCACTAAGGCTTCTTGCACAGTGAACAGACTTTTCACACAGAAATCAGGTTTTTCTCCCACACTACAAACTCTAAAACAAGCTCAATTCACACCTGTCAAGACCAGTTTTTTTGTTTAGCCAAAGAAAAGTCCTGCAGCAACAACAGGCTCCACACAGTGCATTGTTTCAACCAGTATCACTATCAGCTAATTCCAAATGGTCAAAACTGTGTAAAATTCTAAGCACCTGCTGTTTATTCAGACTGGATGCTCTTATTTCAGTGTAAGACTGATCCAACTCTTATCTAAGCTGAACGGGGTACAATAATGACAGAAAGTCAAGAAGATTTATCTTGTATTTACTCCATTATTATTTTTTAATTTAGATGCTTTTAAGCCAATATGAGATAAATCATGTTCTTCGGAAAGGAATTCAGGAGTTGAAAGCCTCATTCACACTGCAGTAAGAACATCCATGCAAGCTTTTTCAATGGTTTATTTAGAAGCATAAATACATTTTTATGAATTGTATTTGTACTACTACCTTAGGAAAAAAAAACCAAAAAACAAAGAAGCCAGAGAATCTCACAAAGAGTCTCAGTTTGTGCTCAGATAATCACAGTAAAAGATATAAGCAGACAAATGCTGATGAGAAGAGGTTAACTTTAGGTATCTAACGTGGCTTTGTCTCTCATGTAAAATTTTATTGAAATAGATATGTATTTCTTAAAGAGAACTTGGCAACACAATATAAGGAGGACAGGAAACTATTACAGACCATTCAAAGAAGGGCTAGAAAGACAGTGAAAAGCAAGTACGAGGAGCAGCTGAGGCCCCTGGGTGTGCTAAGCACAGAGCAGAGGAGCTGAGGGGAGGCCTGATGGCGGCTGCAGCTCCTGACAGGGAGCGGAGGGCAGCGCTGAGCTCTGCTCTGTGTGACAGCGACAGGGCTGAGGGAACGGCATGGAGCTGTGCCAGGGGAGGGCAGCTGGGGGCTGGGGACAGGGGCTGAACCAGAGGGCGGAGGGCATGGAATGGGCTGCCCAGGGCAGTGCTGAGGCACCAGGCCACCAGAGTTCAAGAGCTTCTGAGCAATGCTCTCAGACTTAGAGTTTGGATTTTGGGCTGTGCTGTGTGGAGCCAGGAGTTTGACACAATCCATGTGTGTCCCTTCCAACTCGAGATATTTTTGATTCTGACAATAGTTACTTCTGTCAAAGAAAAGAAGTAGATGGATCTTCAACAAACTTAAGCCTTTGAAATTAAGGTGCTCCAGACAACTTAGCTCTTCCCACACAAAGTCTACTGCAATGTCCCAGTCCAGCATTACAGAGAGGAATTTACAACTCAACTGGGCAAATTTTGTCTTGTGTTCCTAAATTTGAACTCTGTGCCATCTGCATACTTTCAGTCTGAAACATATAGATGACTGATCTCTGACATGATCACATGATCACTGACTATGCAAATGGCAACACTTTTATAAAATGTAACAGTCTACATGTTTTCTAATTGACATCATGGTTTGGAATCTGCGAAATTTTCTCAGTATATTCTGTCTATATCAAGCCCTGGTATGCGTTAAACCGCCTTTAGGCAGTTAAACTGCCTTTAAGGCAGCTTTTCCAGACCAAATTCTTTTTAAAACAACACAGGAACAAAAATCCACATGTTGACGCTTGACAGCTGGCGGGCCTCCTTTTGGCCTGTGCTAACCAAACCTGACAGCATCTAGAAGGTTAGTCATGCAGTACATGTTGTAACATGCAAGAGATGCAATCCAGACACCAAAACACCTATGCATAGAGACAAACTTACTGAGCAGAGTGCAGTCCCTATTTGCAAGGGAAACACACCACATGGAACACTGCTGGCAGCTTCAACAGTATTTGGTTGCAAAACAGACCCTGTTTTAACCTGCAGGTTTTTTTAAAACCCTCTCCTGTTATGAACAAAGTCTGCTCTGTGCAGTCAGGTGTAGCAGGAAAAAAACAACTGACAGTAGCATAAGTGAAGTGAAAGGTCCAAATTGCTTTATAGCGCTAAAATGTTTATACACACAGTCTATTTGATCCTAACATATTTCAAACTCTTTTTACTTGTTGGATTTAATATCCAGCTGTATTAAATGTGCTTTATTAATTGCAGCTCTCCTTTTCTTCATGATTATATAGAGCAATACCTAATACCATATAAATATCCTTACGAAGTGGAGACTTCTTACATGAAAGCTTGTTGAGGAAAGTTTATTTGCAGCAATTCCTTACGGGAAAAGATGAGAGGAAGGAAAGATTAAGTTTTTGAAAGGAGGTTCCTTGCCACAACACACTCGTAAGTACACATAACTGGAGGATGTGGAAAGAAGAGTTATTACCAGTCCTCGTGGCAAGCAATACGTATACAACTCAGGCAGACATACGAATGCCAAATCAAGTATTGATTATTTCATTTTTATTCACAAAAAGGGGCAGAGATTCTTTGGTTTAGATGCAGCCGACAAGCAGAATATATTATTCAGTTCTTCAGTGAGAACCACAAATCCAATTCTAGCCTCAAGGAATTTTAAAACAATCATTTAAAAAAAAAAAAAAAAAGGTCAGAAATGAAAAATTGCTTACCAAAGTGTTTATACAATGAGAATTTGGAACACAGATTCCGTGCCCACCATTCTGACATTCATCAATATCTAAGCAGACCTAGCAATAAAGCAAAACAACGTAATAAAAAACAGGTCAGCTTGAGATCTAAGTCTGAAGAAAATCCACCAAAGTTTAAGTCTAGTGAAGTGCCACAGCCTCTTCTTGAAACCAATTCTAGAATGGCAAACATGTCCACTTCCTTAATTTTTAAACAAGTTTCCAAACACTTATAAATTCAGAAAAGATACTGTGAGATACAGAGAATTTGCACACTATTCCTAATTATTAAACTTTTAATACTCACCAAAGGTAGGAAAATACAATTTTAGATCTTCTAAGGCAACTATGGAATGACCAAAACATAAATAAAATACAATACTGATACACAATTAACATAAGCTATCATCACGCAGTGGAAGTTACTGTAAGAATACTGTCTTTCACCTGCTTGTTGTTCTTGGCATAGCTCAGTCCTACTCCTTGCAACGTTTGTCCTGTATATCCTGGGGGACAAGTCTCACAACGGAAACCTGGAGCTGTATTCACACAACGCACTCCAGGGAAGCAGGGGCTGTAATGACACTGGAAGGGAAAAAAAAAAAAAAATTAAAAAAAAATCAAATGGGCACTTGTTTGTACTTCAGTAATGTTCAGACTCTGACTGTGCACATAGACCTCTCAGTCAACCTGCCTAGGTAACGTTAAATGCAAATGTCTGAATGTTCTTCTATGTTCTGCTAAAAAGCTGACTTGCAGAGAAAAGTTTCAGGTATGTTTGACTCCAGCTTGTCTTCAGCTAACTCTGTAATTTAAATGACACAATCTTTCATTCTTTCATTTTCGCCGGTAGTTGATGCCCTGAGCTCTGATTCTCATCCTTCCTTTTGCTGGGCAAGTTAATCTTCTGTGGAGAGAGAATATCACTGGAGGGGCCCAGACACTATCAGGAAAGCAGCAAGGTTACAACCCACAAATGGTCTCTCAATTGTGTTTTGTACATACAGAAGCAGCCGTGGCATTTTCTTTTGTTTGGGCAAATCTCATAGTCAGAAGTAAACCAAACACAATGTATAAGCCAGATGAACAGGCCTGCGGCAGTGGCACCCACACATTTCTAGACCAGAAGCCAACAGGCAACCCTCAGCACTTCTCCCAAAATACCACACACTCACAGCACCAGCGTTAGACTAAAGACATTATTTAGTTCACTGCCTTGTGTGGTTTTACAGAATGATTTTAACTCCATTTCAGTGGCCTTGTGGGTGCCAGTTCAGGAACTATATCCCTGTACTGCTGCCTCTCAAGTATCAACAGTAGCCACTAAGTAGTGCCTGTGGAAGTACTGAAAACATTAATACGTCATCACACTGCTTATGGCTCAGAGACAATACATAAAAAACACACAGGATTTAAAAAAAATGTTTAAAAGAATGCGTCTTTCCTCCTTCCATAATTAACAATAACAACAAAAAAATTCTAAAATGAAGGCAGAACATGCCAGAGCACATTCACAAACAACAACAAACATGAAACTTGTGCAGTTAATGACTAGTAACTGAGCATACAATTCAATGGAACTGTGTCTGCAATTAGCATAGGAAATTATTTAATGTGGATTTTTTATTGTATCCAGGAGAGGGCACTCAAATTACATCATGAATAGAGCAGAGCTGCAGCTCAAATACAGCCTATGAAAGTAATGTCTTTAAGATGGTAAAAAAGGGAGCTTGTTGCAGATATTTTAACAGCCTTTGAAGGAATGACAGTAGCTCTTAAAGAAACCTAGAAACTTCCTCACTTCCATAGATTTCTTTAAAGTACCATTTTAAATGCCAATTTTTATGAAGTACAGAAATAGTTCACTCAGTAGAAAGCTATTATACTAGGAGAGATTCCTAGAGAACCTTAAAAATAAATTACTTCAGCCTCAGCCAACCCAGGAAAACAAGTAACATGACAGAGACCCTTTTATTAGGCAACATTATCATCTCTTTTCTCACTCTGCTTACCATAAGTGAAAATCCAGTTGCTACGGGAGCTATTTTCTGATGAACAAAATGCACCAAACAAATTGTCATTTGAGTATGACATCATTTAGGTAAAATTCCTCACTATTTCTAGTAATCAGTTCTGTCATGCAGAGTGGTGGTACATCATGATTGCTCAGGGAAGCCTAATCACTGGGACATCACACACCAGTCTTGGCTTGTTTTCCCAACACTGCTATCATGGGTAGAATTGCTCCAAGATTGAAAACAGCAGAGAGGAGCTATGTACATGTTTGGGTGCAGGTCAAGAAATTGACCCTTTCCATACCAACAGGCTCCATGTCACCTGGCCTAAGTATCTCACCATGGCTGCCTGGCATGGAATTCACATCACAGCTGTCTCCAGTTCACCTCTTGCATTCACATTTTAGAGCTTTACCTCTGTTTTTTTGCACCTTCTGCTGCAGCAAACACATGTGAGGCAAAATAAAGACACATTTACAACTCTAGAATCTGCCACACTCAACCCATTTTCTCTTCCCAGTGTTTTTCTCACAAAGATAAGTTGGGCACAAAGCAGCCTTTCTGCTGATGGTCTTCAGGAGAGAGTAAACCAAACAAGCAGTCAAAGGACATCTTCTTTTGGCCAGGAAAGTGAAAAAGGAGAATTGCTCTTGCTATCTGACATCATTAGGAAGTACACTGATAGCACTGTGATATTCACAGGCACAATTAATGACCTAGTTCTCTCAATTCCCTGGTTTAATACATCCAGGCATTTTTACAGAGGGAAAAAAATAAGAATAAAATCACTAAAGGGTAATGGCAAAAATCATCATACAGAAAAACCATGAAGCACATGAAGCTGTAGGTGTTTCAGTTGTTTGAATTAAGTAAGTTCTGAGTTAAGTGACACATTTTACTTAATAAAGGTTTTGTTTCATCATTTAAGATACTGTAAATCTATTACTTCAGTCCTCAATCCAAGCAAGTTCTGAATTGCCAGCATGTAGCACAAGAAAAAAAAAACAGCTTTCATCATAGCCATAAATAAAAAAAAAAAAGAAGGAATAATTGGTTATTTGCTGCCATAGATCTTAAAGGTTAGGCTGAAAACACAGCTACAGTTAGGGATAAACAGAGGGCTTCAGTCTCCAAGGGCAGATCAGGATCATTACAGTTGGAAGATACAAAGCCCATGTCAACAGGAAGTGTTTCCGCTGCTCTGCACATGTAAGAATTTACAGAATCTTCTGTAGAATAGATTTAACTCCTTTAACTTCCCATCCCAACAGGGTATTTCAAGCTCTCACACATTTATCTCCATACAGTTGCAGCAACAGCAAAACAGGGAGGTAGAATCAAATCAGAATGAATTAATATGCACTATGCAAACAGTCAGCAAATGCTATGAACAGCAAGCATCAGCAATCCACTGCTGTACATGAAACAGGTGTTTTTCTTTTTTTTTAATTCAGTGAAAATTACTATTTTACCTCATCAATATCAGAGCATGTCACTCCATTCCCTGTGAATCCGTCAGGGCACGGGCCGCACTGAATTCCTTCAGCTGTCTCCATGCACCTGACTCCCCTGAAGCAGGAACTTGTTTCACACTTGGGTTTGCTATGCCTAGGAATCGGAGTTGGAAAATTCACCATTCCCAAACCTTTAATGCAGAAAGAAGAGCAGTTTTAGCAATTGAGAGAAACATCAATCATGGCTTTCGGCTGGCAAATGTTCTGAAAAGATCCCCAGGATGCTGCTCAGCTGGGACTTCGCGTTTCTACACACTGCTACCAGCTGTGCTATGGTTGAAGAGATTTTATGCTGGCAACGGCCCAGCAGGGTGTTTCATCCCTAGACGCGGGAAATTAAGGCTGCTTTGTTAGGTTCCCATGCTGCTCCTGGCTACATGTGGGTACCCTCCTGCTAGGTCAGTCCCAGTACAGATTCTGCTGCTGGCCAGGGTAGAAAACGGTGAAAGCCAGTATCCTCAGATGACCAAAAAATGCCCAAGAGACTAAAGTTTGAAGGTATGAGGTACTCTTCTGGGCACTTAGCAGCATCACTACTTTGTAAAAAAAACAATGCCTTGATTTTATAAAAACATATCTGACAAGTACAGGGAATAAAGCAATAGCTGGCAGCCCATGAATGCACACCTGGACATGTAAGCACACTGGGTCAGACACAGAGACCAGCACTGTGCAAAAGTAAGATTTTCCAAGGCTCTGGCTGGTGTTGACACCTGGTACCAATGCGTGGACTACATCTTTGCATCTGTGCAAGATTAAAGACTTTTTCTTCAGCACTAGCATAGTTTAAACTTGGTTGGAGCTCAACTCAGTCTTGTTAAGGTGGATAGTTCAGAAGAAACAATCAAAAAGACTTGGTACCCATAAGGCCTTTTACTTCACTCACTGAGGGACTATTTTCTGTTTCTATATTGAGAGCATATGAGTCTTGCGCTTGTGTAAAAGGGCCATGCTGTAGCATTCAGGAATATATCTCTTTCATTTAGTGAAAAGATGGACACTCTCTTTTGGATCTTACTGCTGTTAACCAGTGACAACCTACAGAGAACCAGACTACTTCCAGACAGACTATCTGGGATTTTCCTCAGACTGACATGCAACAGCTAGTGCAGAATGTGGCTCCTCAGTTGTCTTCCCACTAAGACTGATGATGAGGCATTTGACAGCGTCTCCTTCCCCTGGAACATGTGGTACATCATCATGGCAAAGCAAGAACTGACAGCACTGTTACTAACAAGCAGTACGGCTTGTTTACAGGGTTTTTATAACCCTATTGAGGTATAAAAACTTTTTTTTCATCTGATAATCGATTATTAGATAAAACTTTTTTTCTAATGAAAATCTATTTTAAATTTGTGATCAACATATCTAAAAACTTTGGATACAGGATTTTCTGAATGTACTTAAGACGCCAAGTAAAATTGATGTTAGTTTCTAAATGAATGTACATCTCATATAGTTTTCTTTTACAAGCAGTGCAGGAATACTCACCACATGCTTGGCACTCAGCTATGGTATTTCTCAAAAAAGTTGTTTCCTTGACCTTAAGAATACAGAAAATAAACACTGTTTAGATACAGGTAGTTTGTATCTGGCTGCCAGTAGAACCGTTACAATTTTTCCCAATATGCCACTCAGACAACTCAAAACATATACATCATCTTGAAATCAGTTGCTCTTTGTTCTCTGTAAAGTTAAGAACAGTGGTAATGGTAATACTTCAGTTCAGTAGGTTTAACTTAACAACAGCTACGCACTTCTAAATCCAGTACTGAGAGCAAGCAGCAACTGGAACAAATTTACGTTCAATTCAGATATACCTGTACCAGGATCCATCAGGTTGCTTCTTCTCACTGTGTCATGTATCAGAGGCAATGAGCTCAGTGCAGAAGCTCACTGCTTGCACAAATTCTCCACTGACCCCACTGAAGTCACAAAGCTTGGGATATTCCTTAATGAGGTCCTCATACAGTACCTGTTGTTTGAGAAGGTCTTTCACCTCTCCCAGTATCTGGTTCATTTGCACCATCTGATTCATCAGCTGCCTATTAAAATCACCTGTAGAGAAACAGCAACAGAAGAGTACACAATGCATAACACTTTATCATTTTTCACTTTTTCATTATTGTTTCTGAAATGCAAGATGGAAATATCTTGAAAGCCAAGAAGGCCACACACTGCTGTTGCTTAAGTCCTGTAGCTATGCTTAGAGCAAACACAGTATCTAATTCTAATTGTTACAGAGGGATTTGCATGAACAAGATTCTACTGGACCAAACTGAACAGTAAGCCACAGAAACAACTAGAGAAAGCACAAACTTCCCTCTCACACAAAGAGACAATCAGTCTGATTTTTCTACCCTTCTATCAGCATCAAAACTCTCTGCTAAAAAATAACAATAATGGCAGTTAATGCCACCAGCCTGAGACCAGTAACCCTAAATGAAACCATGCAGTCACTCTGACCAAAACAGCCTTTTCAGTACCTGTGCAGTCACTTGGCTTTTCTTCCAAAAGACTACTCAATGCTCTGTGCACTAGTTCCACAGTCACTTTTTCTTCTAGAGGGGTGCAGAAAATAGCTACTCAACAGGCCACAAGTTCTCAGACAGTTCTCAATACCAAAAAATAATTTAAAAAATCTGAGATTTTTTAATATCTGTATATTATTTTTATAATATTTTTTTAATATCTAGATAAAAAAAAAGTTGCATCTGTAATGAACTATAGGAAAGGAACAGAATTGACCTATAATTTTTACACAAGATTCACATTTGTTAAACAAAACATCAGTTTTGATCCAATGCCAGGAAAAAACAAAAAGTATGTTTAGGACACTAGTTTGAGTCTGTAGCTCACTTAGAAGTTTGCAGCTTTCTCAAGCAGCTATTTGTTTACTCCTCTTATTTGCTTCTCAAAGTCTATGTGCCAAAACAAATGCAACAAATAACTGCTGATTCGCATTCCAAGCAGGCTGGTTATTTTGATATTATATCCAATGGCTTCAGGGAAGTTTATTCATGTGTTTCTTTAAGAGTATTGTAAGCTTGCATGAAAAATACTTTTCTTAATGTTTATCTCACTGTTTGGTACTTCAGAGCATTTCTCAGTGTTTCCAAACATTCTAGTGCAAATTGTACAATTACACATATGCTACTTTTTCTTTATTTCAGATTTTCTCACCAAGTGTAAAGACTCAGAAACAGTCTATTCAAGATCCTGCCCCTCTGAAAGTCCCATTCTTTTCTTATTTTTATCTAGGGAAGAAGGTGGTAAAAGTTGATATTATGAGTATTTCAGAATCCCATAACAGAACTTTGCATGCAGGCTGTCAGACCGGATATTGGAGTTTGTTCTTGTTTTGTTTGTATTGTTTTTAAGCATAAAATATTCTTGGCATTACTGACTGAAATCAGCAAAAAATCTCAAGATTTCAGATGTTTCTTTGTTGGTTAGCATTTGAATGAAAAAGCACATCTATTTTTCACACTTAAATTTTGTGGACTGTCCACTATTAAGGTAGACTAAACGTGTTATACTCTATGAATTGTGTGTCCCATTGGCAAATATAGATAGCAAAGCAAAAACAGGTGACCAACAGTAGTATTTTTTTCCTCCTACATTTAAAGCTAAGTCCTACAGTAAAAGCCTTACTAGTAGCAAAATAGCTGATGATTCATGGTAAAAACCTGGAGAGGTCCTTTAGGGTGCTGCTGGGACACAGCATGTTGTAAAACCTACTGGGGAGTGGCATTTTTCCTGGGAGCAAGCAGGGTAAGCCACAAATACACACTCAAGGTAAATGGTTATCCAGTCCTACTACACGGTCTCTCCCATAACTGGCCAACTTAGGTACTAGTGCAGGACAGCTAGTGTCTACATCTGTACTTTGAGTCAGTAACAATCTACCAGAATATCTTTCACAATAGCAGAATCATAAAATCACAATGTTGGAGAAGACCTCCAAGATCTAGTCCAACCATTCACCTATCACCATTATTTCCCCACTAAACCATGTATGTCTCTTACAACATCTAAAACACGGTTGTCCAACCTTTTGGCTTGCTTGGGTCACACAGAGCAAACAGGAATTGCCTTGGGCCGCATATAAAATATGTAACAATTTTAATACATATAAGAAACATTTTAAAAAATGAATTTCTTATTAAAAAATAAAAAATAGGGAGCAACAAAGACATAAAACTAGTTTGATGACCTTGTTTTTTGTGAAACTGACAGTGCATCAGGCCAGTTCAAAGGCAGTGGCTGCCCCTCCTACTGAGTTCTCAATGTGCCCAGAGATTTTTGATGAAATACTACCCTTCCGGTGCTTCTTTCTTGACAGCAGTTGTTCACAAATGTGCGTACTGCCAAAAAGCTATGACATGAATCAGGCGTGACTGTGAAGCGAGAGATATTCTCCTCTGCTAGGAGAGATCTTATTAAAGCCTGGTAAGTAGACATGTTCAAATTTTTCTTTGAGTTGAATGTGTCATTGCAACTCTGTACATTCCATGTGAAAATCTGCAAGTAATGCATTTAAGTCAAATGAAAATAGAATTGCAAATACACAAAAAAACCCGATGACTTTTTTTGAAATCTTGAAACCTATTCTCAAACTCCTGCATCAAAATGTAAAACATATTTTTCATTGTTCACTGACTGACAGTCACAGAACTGTGTTCAGTCAATGTATGAAAATGTATGAAATTTTTGCCATAATTTCAGCACGCCGTAATTTAAGTTTCATTTAAAATGCTGTTGTTTCTGAAACATAGCACAGTCAAGGTGATTTTCACCTTGAAGACATGTGTTTAACTCAACTAAGTGAGCGGTCAAGTCCATCAAAAATGCTATATCTATGAGCCACTTTTAATCTTCATGTTCTGGCACACATCTTCCTTTTGATTCCATAAAAGGACTTGATTTCTCTTTGCAAATCATGAAGTCTACATTTTTAGCATTTTACCCCTACCTAGCCACCTTCCTTCAGATAAGTAAATGATAACCCCATAATCAGCAGCCATACTTCTAAGGAACTTCTAGAACTGGATTTTATGAAATTCAGAGTTTGATGACTACTTGCATGACATTAACTGAAGTTTTTGCACATAGATTTTTTTGATGCCTTGTGCAGTGATATTTCATGAAATGTGAGTTACCGGTGTTAACTGCATCATCTTCTATTATTATTATTTTTTTTTTTTTTTAAGTCCCTCCTTTTTACCAATCATCACCAGGGCACCACCTGTAGCTATACCAGATAGATTGACAAAGGTTAGAGAAAAGTTTCATAATTTATTTTAATGTTTTTTTTTTTTTTTTTTAACCGTTTCATACAAATCAACAGATGTAGTTGTGTCTTTCCATCTCATGCATTTCTTCAGTGACATTATATTTGTTATCAACACCTCTAATGAAATGGCAGGTTGAGCTGTATCTGCACCATCAGTACTACGATTTATCACCAAGTGTAAAACTTGAAATTAGCAGTTTTACTCTCTAAACTTTTTTCGATCATTGTTCCTATTTCTTCAGTCTACCTGGCTATAGACTGGTGAGACAAACAATATTCTAGAAACATCCATTTTTCTTTTCTTTTTTAATCAGGACATTATATCCATCATGCTTTCCATACGTTTGCTAACAAACTCACCATCAGGAAATGGTTTTGGTTTTTTTGCAATCAGATCTGGTTTCACTTAACTAGTTTTTATAATAGAGTCCATTTAACTTTTTTTTTTTTTTAAAGTATTTTGTTGAGCCAACATAATTTTTTTTTAGTTCCTCTATTTCATCCTTATGAAATACTCCTTGATACGCATCAAATTTTGCAGCATGTTTCTGCATATAATGTCTTCCAAAATGTAATATTTGAAAACTGACAGTTTTCCTTGCAAATTAAGCATAATGTCATATTATGTCAGCACTGCACTCTCCCCAGGCCCCACGACAGAGCTGCCATCATGATGATGTGGCAGCAGGTGGCACAGGCTGCAATGCAAGCTGTGCTGGGCCACATGTGGCCTGTAGGTTGGACACACTGGATCTAATAATTTCTTGAACACCTCCATGTATGGTGATTCAACTACCTCCCTGAGCAGCCTGTTCCAGCACCTGAGCACTCTTTTGGAGGAGATATTTTTCTTAATATCCAACCTGAACCTCTCTGGTGCAACTTGAGGCCGTTCCCTCTCATTCTATCACTGTTACGTGGGAGAAGAGGCCAACTCCCACCTCACCACAATCTCCATTCAGGTCATTGTAGACAGCAATGTTCCCCCTGAGCCTGCTCCTCTCCAGAAGAAACAATCCCTGTTCCTTCAGCCACTCCACATAGTGCTTGTGCTCCAGATCCCTCATCAACACTTGAATTCAGAGAAGGATTTGAAGAACTGTCCACAAGCAACCAAAGGCCCTTCTCCATAAGCCTGAGGTTATGACTGGAATATATTTGCCCATATTTTCTTTGGATCTTGTATAGGTCCTTGGATTTGGAGCAGTTGGCCAGCTTCATTGCTCAGCTAATCAGACCAGGCAGACTGACACAAACACTAGGTTGTATGACTTCAGACCATTGAAATGCCTCATACATATCGTGCCTTCTTCTAGCTCTCTAGGGAGCTGATACTGGCTTAAGCACCTCACTACAGACCAATCCAGCAAAATTAGTCCTGAAGCATTGTTCAGAGAGTTTCTGGTTACTAGGCCAAAATTAGAAACCAGCCATGACTGAGGGATGTTCAGTAGTTGATTTCTTGTCAGTCTGCTACACGGAGAAGATACATACAGAAATCACACACATAACTACAGAGATGCAGGTTTAAAATAAACAGAAGGAAATATCTCCTAACACAGGTTATAAACTTCTTGCCAGAAGACAGTATCTTCAAAATCTGACCAACCCATGGAAGAAAACCTCTATCAAGTACAAAGCCTCCAAAGCTCTCTTTACTACTGCTAGACAATTTGTGGAAAACTATACTTCTCTCACTCATATGCTTCTCTGTGTGTTGCCACACTGTCTTTAACCATAGTTAGGTTTAAAAAAAAACTCTTGAATTTGGTGCTACACACCAGTTTTTGTGTATTTATTTATTTAACACTATGCCAAGTTCAGGCACCCTATATGAAGCAGATGTCCTCCAAAGGTCCATTCTGACATGATTTTTGTGATATTAATTAAAAATAGCATACTGGTATCATCTACCAAAACCAGTGCATCTTACACTTTATTTTCTTACACGCATGGAAAGATCCAAATACATGTTTCTCCTTTGTCCAACCATCACATTGTAAGCTCTTAGCTATACTGCCTAATTGTTTCAGTCTCCCATGCTGAGCACTAAGGAATGCTACTGCTACAGTAGTGAACAATGACCAAACTGTCAAAATCATGCACAGTTTTTCAAGTCAAAAGCTCTCCTCCAATGATTTTGATTAATATGAAAACATGTTTTTACCAAAACATATAGGTATTATACATCCATGGAGGAAGTATTTACATTTCTGTTTTTTCTGGCTGAAGGTAAAATTGCGGTTATATGATATATTGCTCCTGTACAAGGGACAAAGGGTAAGGCAGTTGAGTTAATATTGCTGTTGGAATGTTTGCATCTATTCCTTCACTAGATTTGACTATAGAGACTTTGAATAAATTTGTGAGGGATTTTTTTTTCTTTAATATTAGGTTTAATATGGTACTAATTACACTCAAAAGTTATAAACAACAGAATTGGAGTGCTAGTCCAAATAGCTCAGCCATATTGAATGCAGACAGGGAGAAACAATATTTCTCTGTACTACTACAGTTCATATTATTTATAATGAGAAAAAAAGAGACAACTGAGAAAGCTTCAAATCTGCAATCTGATAATGTTGCTCAGAACGCAGAGAATTTTTCCAGAATACATCACTGAATTACCCTTCCTATGTATTTGTAAATCCCTGTTGATTTGCAGGAAAGCAAAAAAAGACCTTTGAAAATAAAGCTGTGGGTTTTTTTTGTTTAGACACATGTGTTGAAGAGCAAGAAAACAAAAGTGTGCGCAACAGAGAATTTATTTAGCTACAAGCCAAAAAAGATTTCATTCTAACTGCAAAGCACCAATTCCTCCATGCACATAAGATAGGCAAGATGCTCTCACACAAATTGCGCATCTTGTCTCCCAGTGACATCAAATCTATTCTAATCTAAAGTAGCAATGCCACAGGGTTAGGGCAGAGAACAGGAAAGGATGAGAAAATGAGTTTTTCCTGAATCCTATTTCAAGCCTCAAACTCACTTTCACTCCCCCCGTCTTCCCCCTTCCCCCATAGTCACACATGTAAATATTATAAATACAGTGTGAAGTCCTTCAGTTACCTTTCAGTGAGAACGTAGACTAACAGGGACTAGAAAGTTCAGATATGCCAGTCCAGCCCAGGTTTGCTGTGTTGAGAGATCAGAAAGCACACTTGCCTGTCACACGGGACTGCATCCTGCCAAAGTGCATCCTTGCAGGAATTCCAACAACCCCTGCCCCCTTTCTTTTCTCCCCACTCCCAGCTCAGGCTTCACAATACATAGCACAGGAAGACAAGGAATTGGTCCTGCATCCAATTTCTAGCCCAGCAGATGAACAGAAGTGCCAGATAACTTGTGGCAGAACTATAATGTCTGACTTTCATTGTTTCTTCCCAAACTGATGCACAGGCACTATAACTGCTGCAACCAGCATCTCCTGAAGCCTCCTGTGCTCCTCCTCATCTCTCATCCTTACCATGTCCAGGACATTCAGATGGCCAACAAAACCTGACACAAACAGACCACAGTAACAGAAGTATGATCTTATGACGTTATGCTGAAAAGCCACTTAATCAGACAGCCTCCTCTCATAAATTAACAGCACTTTGCATTATCACTGGTAATTGTGTTTGTTTTTTCTCCAAACTGAGCTATTTATAGAATACTCACAGGATATTATCGTGGATGCAACTGAGTAAAATAATCATCATTACTTGTCTGTAGAGCTTATTCACATTTTTACTATTCACCACCACAGCTTTTCTGCACTGGTAAGTGAATGAACAGGTTGCTGGCCTTACCAGTGTACTGAGGAGCAGATTCAACCTGTTGAAGAAAACAGTCTTGCAGGTTTCTTGCCTGGGCAAGTGTTCCTCCAGTTACCAGCTTCAGCTCATCCAGTGTATCCTGAAGAGAGATGAAAAACTGAGAGCTCAAGATTAGACTACATTAGTGGAAGTAACATGAAATATCAGAGAAAGATTAATTTTCCATTTCCTTAGCATGCAGGGCTCCTATGCTGTCGCTTTGGGACCACCCATCACCATCTGAACTGTAATGAAATCTCAAACTTCTGCCTCACAGATTTTCATATAGTTGTGATTTTATTTATTTTTTCTCCCTACTATTCCAATTCATGTGATCTAACATACCAGGAGGTTCAGATTTTTTAGTTTATTTTTACATTTGCAGTATACAAAAGTCAAATAAATCTTTCCTGTCTCAAACAGATTTACATTCAAATCAGGAAGTGGACACCTTATTGATTCCCCATGTTCAACTCTGCAATGAAACAAAGCAAAGGTGTAGCCTATGGGCAGAATGCATTTTCACCTTCTAGTGCACATTTCACGTTAAGGACAATGGAAGATGGTTGTGGAAGATACTGTTTAGCTTGGACTACTGATACGGAAATGATAGAAGGCTATGACAATTCCTGGTTGGGAGAGAGAGGCAGAAAAGCTCTAATTGTAGTCAAACAGATGATATTTTGACATATCTACTACCACTTGAGTTGCCTCTTCTTTTGTCTTAGTCCATGTGGATCACCATTAAAAGAAAAAATATATGCATAAGCCAAGAGCTCTTTTAAAATGGTCACAAAGGGCTGCATCTGTTGTACTGCCCAAGAACTTATAAAAAGTTCAGTCCCCAAGAACTACTTCACATCAAAAGTGACAAACTGCAATTTTATTTTATTTTTTCAATAAGCTAAAAACTACATTTAAAATGAATAGTAGATTACTCAGTTCAGTGAAGCTGAGATTTCAGCTGTTCTCTAAGAAACTTGTACTTAAATTTATTTCAAGAGTCTGGATTCAGTAATCCAGAGGATCTCTGCTGGTCCTTTTAAGTGCTCAGCCTGCTCCCAGCATTCCTGCTCACCTCTGGTTTCTTCAGGAAGGTGCGTAACTCTACTGCTGCTGATCTCTCCAATAGAGATGAAAATGGTTTTGGCAGGTCCTGAATGACACCTACTTGCAGACAGTCCAGATACAACTCTATTGTACAGAATTCCTTCTGCAGGCCACTCAGCCATAAGATGACAGCATGGGGTTTCCCATCAGCCAGGTGTACGTTGCTAAAAATCACTGAGTTCAACCTCCCATCATTCTTCAGATAGCGAAGCACCACTGGCACAAAATACAGAGAATGACTATCAGAGGGTGACAGATAATCTATGTCTGACCAAACAAAATTCTGTGGAAATCTGTACTGGCTCTGGTATTTTTCTTCCATACCAGCTTTGATAAATGCAGAAATAAATGCTAAGAATAAATGGAACACTGACTTTTAGAACAGAAGCATCAGAACTCCTGTGCAGCTCCTGGTTTGTATGGTAATGCAGAATGTTTTCCACTGCTTTCTCTAGGCTTTTTTTAATAGGCTAAAACAATAAGACACATCACCTTAAACTACATAACATTCTAAAAAAATGGTGATAAGGGTAACAAGTGTAGCTGACAGCCTGCTATCAGTGTTGTTGCATGTATGTTTCCAATAGCCCCAGAAATATCCTGTAGCAGAAACGTACAGCTAGAAAATCAACTTCAGTGATATTTATTGCGCTCAGCAAAGCCATCTGACCGTGTATCCAAATGCATCATTAAAGCAATGGGAGGAAGTATGATTCTGAGCATGTAATCTGTGTTTCAGGGTAACAAATTGGAAATGTCAGGTCTTGCATTTTGGTCACAAAAATCTCAAGCAACTCTACAGGCTTGGAGAAGAGTGGCTGGAAGGCTGCTTCATGGAAAGGGACTTGGTGTACTGATGGACAGTCGGCTGAATATGAGCCAGCAGTGTGGCTGGCTCATATTCAGGTGGCCAGGAAGGCCAATAGCATCCTGACTTGTATCAGGAATGGTGTGGTGAGCAGGACTAGGGAAGTCATCCTGCCCCTGTACTTGGCACTGGTGAGACCTCGAGTACTGTGTTCAGTTTTGGGCACCTCAGTACAGAAAGGACATTGAGGTGCTGGAGCAGGTCCAAAGAAGGGCAACAAGGCTCATGAAAGACTTGGAGAATGTGCCCTATGAAGAGAGACTGAAAGAACTGGGGCTGTTTAGTCTGGGGAAGAAGAGGCTGAGGGGAGACCTTATTGCTCTCTTCAAATATCTGAAAAGAGATTGCAGTGAAAGTAGAGATGTTCTTTTCTCACTGGTTGCAGGATGAGGGGAAATGGCCTTAAGTTGCAACAGGGTAAGTTTTGGTTGGATACCAGGAAAAAACTTCTTTATAGAAAGGGTTGTTAAGCACTCGAATAGGTTCCCCAGGAAGATGATTGAGTTACCATTCCTGGATGTGTTTAAAACCGTTTGGATGTGGTGCTCAGGGACATGATTTAGCAGGGGGCTTTTAGAGTTAGGGTAGTATGGTTAGGATGTGGTTGGACACAATGATCTTTAAGGTCTTTTCCAACCTGACCAATTCTACAATTCTAAGCAGTCAAGCCACAGACTCTAGGGGGCTATGCAGTGAAATGCTAGCTCTTCTCAGTATCTATCTCAAGGCACAGAGTTGCCACTGCTGCATCAAGCAAGAGCTTACACATACTCTGACTTTCAAGGAACAGCTAAATTGAAACAAGGACAATTAAAAATTATGGAGACAGTAAAGCGAAAATGCTTTTACCAACTTCAGAGAGGCCATGGGTCTAACACTGAATTCACTGTATTCAGTTAACAAATTTTCCTATCAACTTTCCACTACTAATGCTCTCTGAAGCTGCGATATCTCTGTGAGTAACAGGCACATACCTAGTAACTCAAAGATTCCTCACAATTTTCCTAATTGCTTAGTCTAGTGATTAAAATAACCCAGTTTTATACCAGCATGAATAGTGCAGAGTACATCTCCATCTTCTAAGTCTACACTAGCACTAAAGCCTCAGCAGCTGTGATCAATATCAGGAATGTTTTCACTGTTATCTATGTCAAAATGCTGCCAGTGCTGAGATTTCCGCAAAGGTGCATGAGGTCACCAGTAACTTGCTAAAATTTAGCATTTGCTGGCCAGCTCAAAGATCTGGCAAGACAAAGTATGTTGCAAGCATTTTACTTACGTAATTATTATGCATGCTGCATCATAAAATAGCAGGGTCTTTGGATCTAGGCCCTGTATTCAGAGTGACCAAATGCAGCATTAAGTTAGAGAAAGGAGGAGGAGATGGCGGCAGGGCTCTGAACAGACCCTGCCAGAATAGTTTCAAGACAAGCAGCAGTCTGGCTTGGATGAAGGATAAAGTATTCCTTCCATAGCCAAAGCCAAATACCCATCTGGTAAACTACGGTAGGCTCTGAAGGAAGATTTTGCTGGATCACAGCCTCTGTACAATTTAACCCATCCAAGACCCTGAATTCATTTTAATGCTATGTCATCTTACACTGACATTCCTGAGAGTAAGCATCTCATCTGCACTGTTTAAGAAACATTCAGTGGAACTACTACTCCTGACAGTAAATAGGGACCACTTAACTGACTAGTTAAATTTTATCAGTTTTATGCATTTACTAATATTTGTTCCAGAAAGGATCTGTTCAAAAATGATAAGCAACCTAAGGACTATTTGCAATTTGACTCCAAAAATATACTGGACAAAACAAGTTAAATTGACCAGCAGTTCCTTAACTCATGCATGTAACAATCCACTGTGCATCAATAAGACTACACAAAGGAGACAGTTGAACCATTTACATAAACTGAATGGATACAATGTGGATATGTCAATCTTGAGCCAGGCAAGACCTCAATATGGACTTCGCAGATCAAAAGGAGAAGAAAAATCTCACGTTAAATGCATGCTTTAAAAAACACTTCATATTATGCGTATGTTTACTATCAACTTTACCACAACAAGAATAAAACATCAGCAAACCATGAGGAATTGCAGCTCACAAATAAACGTGGCACTGTAAAAGGTAGATAATGCTTGGTTTGAGCTACTCAGATGAGAGTTCACCATGCAGAGGCGCACATATGTACCCTCAACATATTTAGACATTACACTTTGATAAGACACCAATCTTGGTTCACCACTGACGTGATGATCTCCAACCTTGAAAAGATCAGAAACAGCCCCCACACTCTATATTTTCAACTTGCTCAACGATCTCCCGGATGTGTTTTCATTGACTGTATGAAGTAGTCATAGTGGATACCTGACATTTCTAGAGAAACTGCATGTGAAATCACTGTGAAACGTTGTTTATTACTCACTCAGGACCATACATCTCAAACTGGGTTGGGCATTAAAATAACAAGGAGGTGAAGACACCTCTGTGAAAAAGACTTGCTGTGAAAAGCCTCTCTCTGATCCATCAGCCCTTACAACATGTAGGTTACAAGACTCCTGCAACTACCAAAGGTAAAAATGTCACTAGTCACCAACAGTACAAATTTCTGTGTGTTGCTCATCTATATACCACAACCCTGTCATGGACACTTCTCAAATACAACACTAACGTACTGAGGACAAAACTAAAAGAAACCATACAACTTTCCATCAGAAAGCTTCACCAAGTCTTTTAGTTAAAGTACATCAGTAACTGTCAGGAATGTGGGTATTCTTGCAAATCAAGAGCGTGATGAGATCAAAATTATTTACACACACAAATACATACATTAGTATTTCTAGATAACATTTACAGGCATAATTGTGTGTGCATGTGTGATGGGAGGGACAGAGAAAGTATGTGTGATACATCACTTATTTAGCAATTAACTAATAAGGAACTGTACTGCAGTTACTGATACAACTGTATGGCCATACATCACCCAGTCTCAAAAGACACATAGCAGAAAAAGTCTTATTCTCTGACCTCAGAAGGATTTTGGATGACATGACAAAAATGTCACTGTTTTAACTAACTTCCTTCACTGCATTTAAAAAAAAAAAAAAAAAAAAAAAAAAAAGCTGTGCTCTTATTCAGCGTGTAGAATAGTTCACCTACAGCTAAACTTAAATTTTTCAGTAGAGTTTCTCATAGTTAGGCTTAGACAGCTTTCTGACTACAATAATGGCAACAGCAAATAGCAGCTGTGAAGTCAGAGAAGCAACAATAACTTACAACAATTTTTTTAATTTTTTACTGTACTGTAACATTGCAATACATTTTATTTACATGGACATGGTCTCTCTATTTCTAAAAACATGCCCAAGTTTCTACTCTGATTTCTAATGAACCAATTTCAATAAATTAAGAGCAAATTACCCAAAAAGTCCTGTAAGTGCTAAGAATGTTTGTCCTGCACAGTCACATTTAACCTCCAGGGTCAATGAAACAAGAGCAAGCCTTTCATATGCATGAGGTAGTATGTGCGTGTGTCCCTCACATTCCTCAGTAATAAGAACCAGTGATTGTCCTCCAGGGGAAGAAAAAAAGAAAAACAAATTGATTCCTTTCTCTGATATTTTTCCCCACCCTTTTTCCCAGCTCTGTGATACCAGTTGACTGTGGGGTCTGCTTCCCTGGCCAGGAGAGCGCAACATCCTGTGAGTGGGACAAAGCAGCAGAGCTGGAGGATGTTACCAGCACTCTTATTTTGTGAGATGGCAATGTGCAACAAGAATGACTGAAGCATAAAGGTTAATTACATCATTTTCCAAGTTCTTCTGTGACATACCAATAAGAATGGACCCAGTCCTAGTTTTCCCCAACTTAATACAAACAACTCACCTTTATTCATCCGTCCCATTACTGTAAACTCAAAATACTGCTTGTCATCAGCTGGTGAATATAGGCCAAATACGGTGGCTGTGCTCTTTGGCTGCAGTTCGAATGCTGAAAGCAAGAACACTTCATTCAGCGTAGAATCCCCAAGTGCTTGTTGCAGGAAGCTTGTTACCTCTCTCTTGTTGGCATATGAAAGAAGATCAATAACTGAAAAACAAAACAGTTTCAACAGTAGTTTAAATACAATAATGAGCTGAGAACAATGTATTCTGAAGCCACTTCATCCACTATTGAAATGTGTTGAAGAAGGCTTCAAGGAGATCTCATGAAGCCTTCAGTACATAAAGAAAGCTTACTAACAAGACCAAGAACACCTTTTACTTATTCTGATAGTGACAAAGTAGAACAGTTTTAAACTAAAAGAGGGGAGATTTAGATTAAATGTTTGGAATATTTTTTTCATTCAGAGGGTGGTGAGGCCGTGGCACAGGCTGCCCAGAGTAGCTGTGGATGCCCCGTCCCTGGAGGCATTCAGATTGGATGGGGCCCTGGGCAGCCTGGGCTGGTGGGTGGCAACGCTGCTCACAGCAGAGGTTTGGAACTGGATGATCTTTAAAGTCCTTTCCAACCAAAGCCATTCTGCAATTCTATTCTACGATAATTTATTAAAACAGAAATATTTAGTCTTCAAAATGAGGTTCTCAAATATTTCAGGTAGATCTCTTAAGACTTTTGTTATTTTTTGAGACACACCCCAACATAAAAGCTTTTCCAACTATTCCTCCTTTCATAAATTAAAAGAAGTATTTTTGTCACTTTTTAATTACATTCATAATCCAGCATCAAAATTTTCAGACAGATTTCTGGTTTGCTTATCCTAAGAATTATTTTGATGGCATTTGCAGGGCATCAATTAAAGTGCTGAAGAACCAGGTAAGCAATATGATATTCATAACCTCCTTCTCACTTCACTGACTTCTCAGATGATATGTTATATAAATAAAACTCATCTTTCCCTTCTGGCACAGATAATGAAGACAGGTCTGACAAAAAGTAAAAAAATCTAAGGCAGAGTGAAAGCTATTTCCAATTTTTCTTTTTAATTTTTGCATGGTGCAGCAGCAAAGTGTCTAAATACTATACTACTAAGTATACCAGCCTTCTTATGGCCCTAAAACAACAAGCTAGTTTTTCCTCAGTGTTTCTAAATCCACAATGTCTCCAAATTCAAACTATTCTACTAAGAACCCTAGTGATCTCCCATTGGAGCCTACTGCTGTCAGAGCAGTATATATATTACAACCTTCCAAGGAAGACTGATAAATGACTACACACAAGCATTACTTAAATATATAGGCATATTTAGCCATTGCACACCACTATCACTCCACATACAAGGCCATCCTAACATGACAGTTTTTCCATACCCCACTAGATGAAGGAGACTCAAGAGCACCCATTGCACAATCACACACATACATAGTTCTACCCACAGCCACATAGTAAACCCTGTTCATTCAAATGACAGCCTAGGTTCATGCTGCTTCCACTGCTCATTCTGAAGCATCCACCCATTTGGACACTGATGTCATTTCAAAAAAAAAGAGATGTTTTTCCCTTCACCTCTCAAAAGCAACAAAATCTAGATCATAGCTCGTGTCTAAACCCTTACTGACTCCAAGGATCTTGTGGCTCTGCTGGTGACTTCGATTACAGTATGCAGAAACAATGAGGCACTTGACTTGCATGCACTTGTAATGCTGTTGTCAACAAACATCTGAGATTAACTTGTCAAATTCCCTTTCTTTCACAGCTGAGACTTACTAGCATCCCAGGACAACCACTGCTGCCACTGAAACCAGCAGTGGCAAAAGGCTGAGTATTTTATCAGTTTTGATCTACAGAAAGCAAAGCAACTGGTCAAGCAAAAAAAAAAAAACTGAAATGTAACTCATGATTCTGTACAACAACATTTTGGAGGTAATAACTATTCTTAAAATCCAACTGGATCACTGGAATACAGCACTGAAGTCTCCTACAGTGAAAAACCAGTGAATAACTACATGGTTTTTTCAGTCCTAGGTCTGCTTGCTGACTTCATATCAAACACCAAAATATTGGTGAAATAACTACTATGACAAAACTTCTGTCTAACCTGATGAAAAAATTATTGGATCTCTTTAAATTTGTATTTATAAATGAATACTCGCATTGGTTTGTTTGGTATTTGCATTCCACAATCCTTCAGCAGCACAATACCGAACTCTCTCTTGGAGTACCTTCACAAATGCATGTGTCAGAATCCATCCCGTCATGTCAACTACATATGTGTCAGCAGAAGTACACAGAAGGTCAGCGATGCTATGAAAATTCATTCTCCACCCTTAGGAGTGCTGGCAGGTACACAACTCTTAGACCTTACAGACAACTTCTTGTTTGAGTGGGACATGAAAGAGAGATCTACAAGGATTTCAGGTTTCATTTTTAAGGAGAATCACATATTTTCATTCCACTCCTGGAAAAGAGAGACTTGAAAACAAACTAATAGGACAGGATTACCAAAGCTGGAAGGCACAAGCATCTGGTTTCAATAAGCGCACTAGGAGGGAAGACTTGGGCATGCCTGCAAGCACAAGTGCACGCGTGCATTCCCACCAAGCTGAAATGAGCCCATTTGCAGCATAGCCCAGGAGTCTTCACCCCTCTGCTTTCCCTGTTTTGTTCTTTTGCTTTTTGAAGGGACCTGTTCAACCTTCCATGAAAATGGCATATGATAAACGGTAGCAAGGCACTCTATGTAGATAGGTCCTAAAACTTCAATACTTAAGGAAGGAACTAAAATATATGACAGAAAGCCTTAAGGAGGGGTGAGAATTAAATCAGTCACAGAAGAGAGAAGAGCGCACGAGACAAAAGATTTCCTCCTTATTTCTGCTGACACTGTACACCAGCTTTCAGAACCCTTCCAAGGTTCCTCGCCAGTCTCAACTATCTATAGCCATATGTATGAAAACAGCACTTCACTACTGCTTGACGCTTTCCCAAGATGGCTAATGACACTCTGATCACTGGGAGTGAAACCCAGCCCCTGATTTTAAAGTGCAGGAATATCAGAGGATGTGAACGGGGTCCTTCCCTGGCTGCTGCCTCTGCTAAGCTATAAGTCTGCCTTTTGTTGAACTTTTTTCTGTCTCTGTTTTTTTTGTTTGTTTGTTTGTTTTGTTTTTTTCTTTTTTTAAACAATACAATTCTCAGAAATACTTTCAATCGAGAAGGACTTTAATAAAGAAAACATAGCTAAATTAACTTCTCTTGCAGACTATCATGTGCCAAAGAACAACCGATTAAATCGTCAAACACCATTCCGCAGGACAATGGAGGCTTAGGGCACCCGAGAAGCAGCGCAGCAGCTTTCCAGAGCAGCACGACGTGTTACAGCTACAGGCAGCTGCCGAGCGGTGCCCCTCGCTCTAAAACAAAGCAGGTGCTGGCTCACTGCGTCCATAACGCTGCCGTACAGATGCAACTTTTCCTACTCGAGTCCTACTTCACGCAGTGGAGTTTTCTCGACGATTTTCCATAGCTCAGCACTTTACCTCTCATTTATGAGAGCCTGCATCTTGCAGCTGCAAAGCACTCTTCGGATGTTCGCGGTCCCCACAAAAACAGGCTGCTTTCTGACGACGTTAGCGGGTGAAGAATTCGGCTGAGGGATCAGCGAAGCCGCGACACCGAGGAGGCAAAGCGGGGCCGGAGGCGGCAGGGCAGCGCTGCCCGCTCCGCTCCTCCCGCTGCAGGCAGCCGCCCCGACCCTCCTGCTCAGGGCAGCCCCGTCCCAAACCCGCCACCACCTCTATGAAAAATGATGGAAAAAGAGGACAGCTTGCTAAAGCAGAGAGGGGCGGCGCGGGGCCCTTACCTCGAGGCGCGGGCGGCGCGGCACGGCCCGGGCAGAGCTGCAGGGCAAGGGGCAGCAGCAGCAGGGCGGCGCCGCGCTCGCACCCCATGACGGCCGCGGGCCGGGCAGCGCGAGAGAACGGCGCGCCACCCCGCTCTGCTCGGGGCCCGCGTTTAACGGGGGCTGCCCCGCGTCCGGGGAGGGACGGGGCAGGCGGCAGGCCATTGGCCCGGGGGCGGGTGGGGGCTGAGCCGGGGCAGGGCGCAGCCGTCTGAGGTGGCGCAGGTGGCTGCGTTGTGGGGACGTGGTCTTTCTTCCAATTTAGCTTCACCAGCTTTTTGTAGCTGATGAATGCCGTTGAAAGCTGTCGTGCAGACTGCAGTGCGGAGCAAACCAGGTTTCACTGAATCGTGGAATCGTTGAAGTTGGAAAAGATGCCTCAGATCATCTAGTCCAACTGCTGACCCGCTCCCACCATGCCCCCTGAATCACGTCCCTCGGTGTCACATCCACACGTTTCTTGACCTTCACCACCATTCTGGGCAGCCTGTTCCAATAGCTAACCACTCTTTCTAAGAAGCTTTTTCTAATATCCAACCCGAACCTCTCCTGGTGCACCTTGAAGTCATTCCCTCTTGCTCTACCACTGTTACCTGGGAGGACAATGTCCACCTCACCCCAACCTCCTTTCAGGTCATTCTAGAGTGCAATAGTTTCCCCTGAGCCTCCTCTTCTTGAGACTGAGCAATCTGGGTTCCCTCAGCCACTCCCCATAAGATCTCAGTTTCTAGAAGCCTTACGTGAGGAACATGGAGTCTGGCATCTGCCATTTCTCTTAGAGTTCAGGGAGAGTGGAAGAGCTCAAACCAACAGGACTGGGGTTACTAGAAAAGGTTGCTTGTGTTAACAAACTCCTAGACCTCAGGACTTAATCAAGTTCAGTTAAAAACAATCAATAACAACAACAAAACCCTAACACTTCAGCTCTTAACTACATGGATTTTCAGTACTTGATGTACTCCCAAGATTTAATTATTCCATTTTCTGTCCTCCAGAAGGTCCCAGTTTCAGCTCTGCTGACACTGAAGAAGAAAGACACAAGCGAGTGAACCCTCTGGGGCTGTGCTGCCAGTCTGTTCCATGTCCTCTGGAAGGCACCTGCAGTGCCCCCCTGCACCCTACTTACCAGAGACCAGCTTCTCCCATCAGGGGCTTGCAGCATTTGACAGGCTTCCAACCTGTTGCACTCCCCTCCTCATCCTGTGTCTCTCCACTCACCCCAGCTCACAGACAAACCTCTGCCACATCAGAAGCAGTTCAGGGAGCTGTAGCTGCTCCCCTGCCAGCTTGCAGCCCAGCGCACAGCTGGAATAGCTGGAGATGTCTGATATCATTTACATCATAAAAACAGGAGCAACAATAGCAGGAAAATTTTATGTTAAATGAGCAAAGTGGCGTTGATTAATGTTCAGCACATCAGGCATGGCATACAACTAATGAGCACTGAGGAGGACCACCTGTGTGCAGGGCAAGACACAACATGCTGCAGGGCTGAGACTGCCAGCATACTGTGAAGGGGAGGGGGGCTAGAACAGCCTGCAGCCACACAGGGCGCAGGCATGGGCTCATCTCCAATGTGTCTGCGGTGGGATTCTCAAATACCTTCTGCTGGCCTGTAGTTGCTTGCTCTTGAGATAATCTCCCCCATGGTACATCCCCAATACCGCAGAACACCCACGCTTGTCTGTATGTGTGATGACCCACTCCTTCAGTTGCACATTTCTTTCTTTGCCTATTAAGAGACTGGAGAGTGCTTCCCTTATATCGAGTGTATCTCAGAACAGTGTTCTTTCTCATCATGCTACAGTCTCATGTGTATCTGCACACAACACAAAATGCCTCACTTTCACTCTCACCACCCCTGCTCATTGTGGAAGTGGGAAAGTGGCACAGTGATACCAATGGGCTGGCAGAGTGCTGCACCATAGAGAAAGGAAAACAGAGCAGTGGGCTTAGAGCATTACAAAACAGTAAGAAAAGTGAGGCTGAAAGGGAGATAGCAGGAGGCAAAGATGTGGAACAAAGAGAAAGAAAACCAAAGCCACATATATCCTAGGAGTAAGTTTCAGCCCAGAACCTGTCCCTAACAATGGTGGTGACAGCACAGGTTATTAGCAGAGGCTAATGCCTGGATGTACAGCAGCAGAGATACTGCTCTATAATCAGTTAGCATGAAGGAGAAACCCTTTTGTGACCAAAGAGCATTCTTTGACAACATAGACGTGACAGTGTGCCCCCCTCCCCTTCTTGTTCCTTAGCTTCCTCTTTGGCCTGGTCTCGCACACAGGAGGACAGGAGCACCAGATTTAATGCTCTTGTTAAGAAAAATTAACAACACCAAATCTGTCTCAAAGTTGGGAGGCTAAAATAACTGGTAGCAGACACTTGGTTCAACAGCTGAAAGCCAACTGAGCATGAACCAAAGAACAAACTATGACTATGACTCAACCATCTTGCCCCATAAATAACAAGCAGCCTATAGCTCCAGGAGCTCACCTGCTTTGTAGTGGATTGTAGTCAAGATTTCCCTTTAAGTAGAGAAGCCTTAACAGGTTACACTATGCAGAGATAGACCCCTTACACTTTGACATTAAGATACCTTGTTGATAGAGATCCTCACAAAGTGACTAATTGTTTTAAGCTTTTTTAGCTTCTCTAAGACTGTGTCTTAGATTTGCTGTGCACATATGGTTTCTTAGCCATAAACTGCAGACCAAGTCTGGGTGTGGATCCACCTTGGTTCTTTACCTCTGTGGTTCAAGTTTAGAAAGCAAATGAGTCTGCTATGAGCCTTGAGGCTCAAAAGAAGTCGTGTATACCAACGTGTTTAACCCTACCCTCTATGCAGTGCATCCAGCCACCTCCAATCTTCTCAAGGTGCTGTTAGATTGCTACATTGTATCTTGCTTATATAACGCTGCTTCTCTTTATGAGCGAAGCGTATAGTATAGTTGTTTCCATCCATGATACTAGGTTTAAATGCCTAACACAAAAACATTATGAAGATCTGCAAAATCATCACAGCTTCATGTAAAGTATTCAGTTACTACTGCAAATAAAAAAGAAAAGGACATTAGATGGAAAAGTTTTGTGTTTGCCTATCTGGAGGAATGCTAACAATTATTTGCATCCACGTATGTAATTTCTTTGAGTTTAACAAAATGTAACAAATATTTTCTCAGAAAGTTCCCTTTCCTAAACTATTGAATAAATCATTTTGACTTGTTTTTCACTTCTGAGTTACTTACAGGGAAGTCTTGTGGACTGGTACTAATCAACTCAATGTGAGGAAGATCTCGTTGGTGGCATTTTACTCTTCTTGCTATTTGACGTTTGAGCCCCAAATTCTGTTCTTCCTCTGCCTGCTTACTCGTTGTGCTTATTCACCACGCATGTTAGAGCAAAGTTTGGGAAAAAGAGCATGCCACACAATAAAACAAAACAGAACAAGTTCACAAAATACATAAGCAGAAATTTATGATCACGTTTAAATTAAGTTAGCCAGTATACACAAAGGTTACTGCAATTTTTCAAGTTTTCATTTTTATTATTGGAGTATGTTACAGACTGGAAGAGATTTTGTGTTCAAGCAAAACCTTCTTTAAGGGATTTTTACAAAGCAGATCGTTTATCTGCTGTCTGGATGGGACTATTTGACTTTGTAACCATCTGTTTGACCTTGTAACCATCATTTTCAATAACAACAATGGAATATTAGCTATTTCTTTTTCACTCTTATGTTTTCTCTGACGTACAAACTCCAGCTTAACTTACTGGAGGTTGGTATCTTGAATACAAATCAGAAAGTGGTTATTGGGCACTATGTTTTCAAAAAACCTTCAGGAAACCTCTGCAAGGATTTTTTTCACAGGAATGCAAGACTAACACTTTTTTAATAGAAGATATGCAAATAAACTCCAACTGCTAAAATATTTGTTCTGCTTATTTTATGTAAACCAATAATACTGTAGATGTAGAAAATACAGAGTAGCTGCCAATTTGATAGATTTTGTTCATGGCCTGTGCAAATTCCAAGTAATGTGGCTGAGGAGTTAGGAAGGAATCCCTGCTGCTTTATTTAGGTTTCATATTTTGTTCCTAATATCCATGAGGAGACTCACTGTTTTTATGGAATTTTATGGATGATTAAAAACCAGGGTGCATGGAAAAGCCTTAATGAGAAGTGAAACAAGAGAAGCCTTAATGCAAGTGAAATCTCAGTGAAGTACAGCTCTAAACCACATCCTTCTGTATTTCTGTCAACACTTAGGAGTTTGATCCTGCCACATTTTCATTGCAAGGATGTGTAGAAAGAATGTAAGGTTTCAAACACAGGTTTCAGAGCAAGTTTTGCCTTTTCAGAAGTCACAAACTGAAGCTCCACGTTTTCAAGTCGAGGCATACATCCATTCTCAGAGCACGTATTTACATTTCATTGTTACTAACAGAAATTCCACTCAGGCAACCGAGAGATGAGGTAGGGAAGATGTATATTGCCTTTTCTGTCTTTGCTCTGGATACCATAATGGTACAGAGATGAACTGGGCCCAAGGCAGAGCAAGGAAAGTCTAAGCCTTCTTGCAATCTGTCATAAGGAAGTGCTAAGCTGGTTTATCCTCCATACAGAAATGGATGTTTGTGACACAACTTTCACGCAGATCTGAAACCACAGATCTGATGATGCAGAGAGGAAGAAACCTTGAGAGCCCTTACTCTCCTCATCTTTGTGTGCTGCAGAATAGCAGGCTGTTATCTTAAGACGTCCTCAGTAAAAACACACACTGCACGAGCTCTCCTAATTACTTGGTCAAAAACGGTATCACACAATCAGATTTCCATATTTTTAAAGGCAAACTGTTGATGGCTGCTCAAAAGTCGTCGCTGCTGTGGAAAGCCGTGACTTCGGGAACACAACGAGCCCCGCAGAGCCGGGGTTCAGCCACGCACTCATTCCAAGCGGTAAATTTTTCGCGGCCGCCGGCAGCTCTAGCAGGGTGACGGCCTCGGGCAACAGAGCCGTCTCGGCGCCGGGCCGCGGGAACGGCGCGTGAGGGGAGAAGCCTCTGAGCCAGGGGCCGCCAACGGCCCC